AAGCAGGCCCATAAATGCAGGCAGCAGATCTCCAGAGAGCAACTTGAACAGCCTCCCACAAGGTGGCTCCCCCTAGTTTCATCTTTCACTTCCATTTCATATATAGAGCACCCTGTTCATCTCAGACACAATGCATGCAAGTGAATTGCCCATTCAGGAAAATATCCATAGATATTAGGACCCGCCCCCCCCCCCCGCAGTTCCCTTACCATTCATTTATTCACAGTAGTCAAGATGGCCAACCCACAAGGATATATTTGTTTGTGATGGATGAAGCTGGTGATAAGTGTAGTCCAAAGCATATGGAGCCAACCAGGATGGAGAAGGAAGGACTTAGGGTACCTTGCCCATTGTGGGAATGTTTAGGAAATGACCCTGATGACTTCTTCCTCTATAGTTGGTTTTAAGATGGAGTAGGAAGATCTTTTCTCTAACTTCTTTTAGTCATTAATAGCTGTACTAAATCAACAACTCAGCAGGGATAAGGCAATTTTCTTTCTTGACGAAACCTTTGCTTTCATTGCTCTCTGAAAGCAAGACAAGGTCTATTAAAATAACATTAAGGGAAGAGCTGCCAGCTCAAATTAGGAAAGTTTCAAACATCTTGAAACAGAGGGGGGGATATGATTAACAGGCTGATCGGATAAGTAAGGAGGAGGAACAACTAGCATGAACAACCTTCGTGCTTAATTATATCTTCCTTCCTCTCTTTCAGTTTAGCCGCTTTAATTACATGTGTTTTGGAATATAAACATATGTTCATTGTGCACACACATTCACACTCTTTATTATAATGGGCATCGCCTCAATTTTGTTTTGTTTTTAACCCAACAACTCTAAAGCTTCATTCTATTGCCTTCCCACCCACCCGAAAAAATGCATGTGCCAGAAAAAAAAGCATTTTCAAAGACAGTTACACCCTAACCCTGAACACCCACACTTAAATCGAGGCTAAAGTGTGCAAGACAGAGTCCCTGATGATTTTGCTTCCTTCTCCACCAAGAGAAAAGGCAGAGATCTGCCATCCTAGAAGGGGGCAGTCCTATGATCCCTGGGACAGCATTCAAGTGGTCAGTGGACGCAGTGGTGGAGAGCAGGCGGAGGCATGTCTGGTGCACGCCCCGGGGGCATGGTGTGCATCCTGGGGGTGTGGCACACCACCCACAGGGGTGTGGCGCCCAGCGGGGGGACAGCCACGATGGCACCCCACCGGGATTGTGGTGCTGGGGGCGGTGCGCTCCCCATGCCCTCCTCTTCCTCCTCCAATGAGTGGATGGACAGGATCCACCAACCTGAAATCATGAACAGAGGTCTGACGTTGGTGAAACAGATCCAGTGCTGGATCCCACCACTCTGCTGGTGACAGCTTCTCCAATGCTGTGGTCCAACTGATGGAGCTCTCGTGTCAAAAAGGCTAAGAAGGAAGCTGCTGGCATCCAAATGACCCCAAGCCCTTCCAACACCTTGCTAGGCCTCCACCAATCAGAGAGAAATTTGGAAGTGCTTCTGAGCATGTCTAAACCTCTGTCCCCCACTAAAAGAAATTGTTTTTGTATAATTGGAGACACTCAGATTTGAGTGTTCTTCTGCCCTGCTGCACATTGGATGAAATGTTAAACTGCTTTCATTTCTCTTTCACACACTCACACACACAAACATCCTTAGGATTTCCTAAAACTAAGGCTGCAAAAATAAGTGTCTATGTTATGTTGCAGTCCTAAGCACAAAGCACATTCCACTGAAATCAACTGAATCCACTTCAACTAAAAAGAAATTGAATCTACTTCCAGCTAAATTATCAGACCACAGCCAAAGGTCATCTAGCCCAACCTGCTGCCAAAGTAAAGCACTGCAAACAATATTTTCCTGTAGTCAATTGAGTGAGAGAATGGACAGGTTGGAGAATAATGTTGTGCTCACAGTTTGAGGTACTGTCTTCAGATTCAGAGCAGCATTGTGGCAACCATTTTCAACGCCAGGACTTGGCTCTGTAGTATACAGACCATAAACAAGGATTTTTTTAAAATATACATATTTTTATTAAGTTTACATAACAAATTTAAATTCAAACAAATCCACATTATCATTTAGGATTCCCTGAATCCATTGACTTCCCTCTGCCCTTCATACAAGGTGGACGTGCAAGATAACAAAAGCATTCTGGGAAATGATTTACCATAAACAAAGATTTCTTTTGAAAATGTGCAGAGTGCAGTTTCCTCCTAAATGAGGCACTGTTGTAGGGCAGGTTTTCAGATCAGAGATTGCATCTTTCTTACAAGGTTCAGAGCTTCAAAACAACTGTCTTTTGTTTAACAAAGTGCAGACACACCATTTAAGAATATGAAACCAATTCTGGTACACTGCTGGTTTTTGTGCCTTGTCATGGAATTTGTTCCTCTCCAAGCTCTACGCCCCTGCCATCCACTTTTCTTTTCAATGTGGGCTTGAGCCCAACTTTGAGCAATAGATTCCTGCATTGCAGGGGGTTGGTCTAAATGACCCTCGTGGTCCCTTCCAGCTCTAAAGTTCCGTGATTTTATGATTCTGCCTTAAACCAAAAGGTGGTGTGGTTGTTGTTGAAAATTCCTGAGGCCACGGTATTTGATTCAGAACTACAGGCTTCCTAGAATACTATGTTAACTAATTTAATAAAACACTGCCAGTCATCCAAAGAGCTCATATCAGCAATCTCCTCTTCCTCATAACCACTGAAACAGTCACTGCCCCAGTAGCTTCATGTCCAAGCAAGGATCTGAACTTACATTTCCCAGTGCAAGTCCCACACCCCATCCACTAAATTTCCCTGCCTCTTGAGGCTTCTGTGTTGCTGGTATATATGTTAATGTAACATAGTTTTGGCCCCTTGATCTTTTCCTTATGAATGAATGTCTTCAACACGTGTGTTTATGTTGAAATCAATTCCAGTCATCGAACACAATAAACCCAGTAAGTGTTCCAGAAAAAAATATTCTGGCAAAAGAAAAAGAAAGGAATTTGTTAGATTGTTGATTTTCTTCCCCATCTCCTGCAGGCTGAAGACTTCAAAAAAAAAAAGGAAAGAAAAAAGGTTACAAAACATTGCTATTTTTTAAGATCCTTAAAACTCAAGAGCGGCTTCCGTCACCACCTGACAGAAGAGAGGCACACATTTTCAATCTGTTGAAAATAATTGTGTGGAAAAACTCATTCGGTGGCTTCCAGACAAAATCCAATCAGTGTAATGGTTTTTGAGAACGAGGAACTGTATTCACATTTCATTCATGTAAAGAATGAGATAATAGAGGACTTTCATGGTGGATGAGCACCCTGCAGGTAGTGCAGTTTGCTGTACTGTATGCAGGGCCTTGCTGGGTCCATCGCATAAAGAAAAATCTCTCTTAATTTGTCCCCATCCCTCAGGCATCAAATACATTTTCTTCCAAAATGAATGGACTGAAGCGAGGATTGACAGCATTTGCACTTCAATGAGATTCCCTGTGAATGACAGCTCTGTTGCTTTGGGAAAACCAGCTGTGATTCTAGCATTCCTTTAATGCGATAAAATTGATGTAACCTGCCGATACCTGGGTCCTTGTCATGAAACCTGGGTAATTATTTCCTAAATCAAAAAAGAGGGAGAGAAAAGGGCTTTTCACATTCACCGTGCTCACTGTCTTCAGCTAATAAAAGGTTTAATTGAAAGCTAATAATTTCAAATCCAGCACAGCAGAATTAAGGCCTCCAAAAGTAGCATCACGTTCACTCCAAGTACTGCTAGTCTAGCTCAAGTTGCCTGAGATTTTCATTTTGAACAGTGTTCTTTTGCTCCCTGTAGCAATTTATTCTTTTCAGACACAATAAGCCTGCAACTTACATGGGGGTTACCATAACCTCCAACATTTCTCCAATGAAAATAGGGACTTCCTAAGGGAAAGTGGGACATTCTGGGATCAAATCATAAACCAGGAAAGCTTATCTAAATCAGGGACATCCCTGGAAAAATAGGGACACTTGGAAGGTCTGAGTTACATTCCAGGATCATGCCTAGAGCCAAAATCACATATAGTCAGAACACATTGGGTCCAATGGGAGGTGGTATTGCCAAAGTCTTTCTTCTCCAGGTATCTGTTTCCTTTCCACCCCCTTTTAATTTTTAAAAAAATCTTTTGCCAAGTGTGGAAAGCTGAATGCACACAAGTTAAATGTGTGTAAGTTGTGGACTTACTGTACTCCAGGCAGGCCTGTGCAGAGGGGGGGGGCAGCCAAGTACATTTGCCCCAGGCCTTGGGGGGCTAAGCCAGCTTGGGGGTCCTGCCAGGGACTGGCTTCTTCTCCTTCTCCTTCCTTTTAGTTTATACAGTGGTACCTCGGGTTAAGAACTTAGTTCGTTCTGGAGGTCTGTTCTTAACCTGAAACTGTTCTTAACCTGAAGCACCACTTTAGCTAATGGGGCCTCCCATGGCTGCCGCTGCGCGATTTCTGTTCTCATCCTGAAACAAAGTTGTTAACCCCGAGGTAATATTTCTGGGTTAGCGGAATCTGTAACCTGAAGCATATGTAACCTGAGGTACCACTGTAATTTTATTCTAGCAAGACTCCTACCATGCTTCAGAGAATCAAGAAGAAAATATCACATGTAGCAGCAGTCTATCAGGAGCTGGTTTTGTTGCCCAAGCAGTACTGAAAAATGGAGAGGAGAGGTGCAAAGCAATTGGCAAATCCCAGTATATGGTTGCTGAGCTGTGTTCAGGTTGGCCGAGTAGAGCAGCCTTAAGGGGGGATTGTGGATTTGTTGTTGTTCTTATTTTTACTATGTAGTTTGTGGTTTTTAAATTGTAGTGTACCACCCTGAGATCTGCGGATAATGGGTGCTATACAAATTTAGTAAATAATAGCAATAATTGCATGTGAAGACCCCCCCAAAACCACCCCCACATGAAGACATAAAAGACACAGATTTTAGTTTAAGGTTTTTGGCATTAAATTTTGTCCACAACTTTATTTTTTTTATTTTTTTTAAATGATATTTATTGAAGGAATTTATTTTTTTTTAAGTTACAAAAGAAAACAAAGTAGAAAAAGAGAAAAACAAGCCACTTCCAACCATACAAATACACAAAATAAGAGAGGGGGGAAAACAAAAATACACCACAAAAATTTAAAAACAATTAAAAACAAATCCATTATTTTCAACTCCTCAACTGTCATTACCCTCTTTCCTTGACCTCCTCCTCCTCCCCTTCCTTGTGTCCTGGTTGTTAATTGTCACAGCAAATCCTTTCCATATTTCATAATATTCTGTCATTACATTACCTTAAACTATTTTAATCTTATCTTACTATAAAAACCTTGGAACTTAAAACTTAAATCTTATTTTTACCAACTTCTCATAACCATAATATTCTTACATAATTCTTTAAACATTTTTACTAAAGCCAAATAATTTCATTCCAACATTTTTCTAACATTCATCAATTTTATAAAACAGTCCTAGTGATGAAAAAAAGAAATAAAAACAAATCCAATCTTCAATCTTCATCCAGCATCCCTTCCTCCTGGTCCCGGGTTTGTCAGTCCTTATTATCCCATCGATCTGGCGCATTAACCTGGTGACCTTATATCCGAAGCCCTTAAGTCTCTTCCATGTCCCTTCCGCAGCTCTTCTTCATATTTGTAACTGTATTTTCCCTTGTCTCCTGCTCGTTTCACTCGTGGGAACTCCAGCTTAGCAATATTTTTGACCCTTCTCGACAGATCAGCCCCTTTTCCATAATCGACACTAAATTCCATGTGGTATTTAAAAACATGTTTCAAAAACCATCCAAAATTGAGAGCCCCCACAATCCCAAACATCTCACGGCCCATTGCCAGACTTGAAAAGTCCAAAAATCCCTGCATAGGAGGGTCTATCCAACCCCCCATTTCCAAACCAAACCACACTTTTTCTTTCCAAATCTGGCTTTTTCCAAGTTCATTTGTCAAATCCAGAAGCTCATATTCCTGTTGGGCCTGTTCTGTCAGGGCACACTCCTGATTTAATTCCTGGGTGGGCTCCACATATTTTCCCACTGCCTGTTCAAAATTTCCCACTGCCTGTTCAAAATTTCTAATCGAATCAGCCATCAAATTCGTCTTCTCATGTAGCTGTTCCAGTAGGGCATTTGTTTTATAGAAAGCACACAACAGAGCTTCTGAATACATTGTCCTGCAAGGTCAGATGTCTATTCCCACGATTGTAATCTGTAACAGCTGCCAGCTCCCAGGAGTTGGTTACAGTTTCACAGTCTCCCTCTAGGGGGAAAACTTCTATTTGATCTTTCTTTTAAAGACAAGTCTAGCAACAGAGTTTCCTTTTTTCAGATATTTTGTCAATATTTGTTCCTTTAAGGTGCGAAAGGAAACAATGGAATCACTATGTTCCTCTTCTTTTAGCTATCTGTCAAAAGCGTTTATCTCTGGTCAATGAGCTTCATACGTCAGTCCTGACATCCCGCTCCAGGATCAGGACGGTGGAAAGTTACTTTACTTTAAACTCACTTCTGCAGGTTTAAACAGTCCAAAAAAGATCCCCCTTCTCCTGCTGCCGAAGGGGGGTTAAACAATTTTAAATGATGAAAGCCAATCCTTTAGAGGCGATTTTCTGAGCTCTAGTTTACATTGTCTTTGCTTTATTCTGTCTACAAAGAAACGGAAGGCTGAGTTCCTGTTTAGACCTTCCCGTTTCAGTACCAAATTGAAGTAAAATTTCTAAGTCCAATTCCTTTCTGCTCGCAAGTCCTTATTTAAAGTCCAATTGTTCAAAGTTTAAATACTCACGGATGCTTATTTTAAAAGCCAAATTGTCCCAAGAAAAAGGCAGCGCTCTCCGGCAACGGCTGTGCAGCTTCGCTCCACGGAAATAGCAGTTGACTCACAGCACCGCGCCGCTTCCCCCTCTTCGCTTCGGAGCCCATTAGTGGGTTCCTTTGCGGATTGGGGGGGCGCTAAGGGTGCCCGCCGAGTCCCATGGTCACAGGCTTCATCTGCCTGTGATTTTTAAAAGGGTCCCCACTTCGCCGTAGCGGAAAAGACCAATTCAGAGGGAGTCCGCCATTGCCGATGGCGCCACCCCGGAAGTCCTTTATTGATTACAGCATGTGAGTGGTTGCTTAGGCATTGGTTCCAGACTACCTGAGCCTGCACAGTGACAGGAACAGGACTGACACTGGGCACCACCATATGTCAGTAAGGGAAAGCAACCTGGGGGAGCAAGAAATGGCTTTGATCTCACAGCTCACCCCAGATGCTCCCAGGGGCTCTGGCATGGCCCTAGCCCCTTGACAGGGTTTGGACAAAAGCATGGCGAGCCCCTGGATTCCTTTAATGGAATTCCCTAGCAGCAGCAATAGAGGGGCAGGCACAGCCAACAACATCCTCTCCCCAAAACATTGAACCAAATGCCTAACCGCCAGCCTTATAAAGTTGTGACAATTTGCTACATGGTGGGCAAAAACCAAGTGGCACCAGCCAATCAGCCAAATGGCAAAATTCCTACTGGGCCCCTGCTCCAAAACAGACGACTCCTAGACAGGCATAGCAAGGCCATAAGAACAACCCTAAATATAGAAAGAGGAGGGCGGGTGATCCGCTGCACGTTGCAAGAAAGTGAAACTCTCCAGCGACATGCAGCAGCTTAAGTAGCCCCTCAGCAGCCAATAGCCAACCCAACTGACCAAATTTCTGCCTCAGCAACAGAGGGGCAACCAATGGGGTGTTTTGGCCATCCAAACGGTTCTGCCCCACAACAGGGAGGCAGTTTCTGGTGATCTCACCGCAACACGTGCCCTCCATGATGGAGGATCTGACTAATAAAGTTGTGGAGGTCCCAGTTATAAAGAGAATGACTGGAATTCATTGAACACATTTTATGAGTGTGGTTTATACTTAATGACAAAAGGATACCCAAATATATTTCTTCCAGTTTCCACAACTCACCCATACTTGCAAGCTACAGTGGTACCTTGTTTTCAGAACAGCTTAGTTTATGAACAACTTGGATTAAGAATGCTGCAAACCCAGAAGTAGGTGTTTTGGTTTGTGAACTTTGCCTTGGAAGCAGAACATGTTCTGCTTCCTGTCGAGTGTGTTCGATTTGTAAATTGAGTCCCCCACTGCTATGGGAAAGCATGCCTTGGTTTAAGAATGCTTTGGTTTAAGAACGGACTTCCGGAACGGATTAAGTTTGTAAACCAAGGTTTACAACATTGGTAATAATATTACAGTTGGATTTGCTTTATTTACTTGGCTTAACATTTCTACATGAATAGCACAGTTTATGTAAAAAATACCACAAAAAATACCAGGCTCCAGCATGCCTTTTTCCACAGTGCTTCCTGTTACTCCTCAAGGTCTCGATGTGTAGGTAGAGAGTAACCTTTCTGCCCATTGTTCTGCACAAAGATGATAGTCAGTGACTAGGCACAGTCCATGGCCTAATACTCGGTTGTAATGGGTCTTATCTAGAAGAGGATTCCAGCAGATGGGCGACAAAGGACAACTAGGGAAACAAAAATAAACGTAGTTTAGAAAAAGAACATCCAGTGGTTTGGCAACCCATCAACTCGATTTTAATCCCTTTAGCTTTTGTTCATCACAGAGGCTGTAAAAGGTAGCATACAGTGAATAAAAAGAATTGCAGAAGAGTCAGCAAGAACGTTTTCAGATGGGACTTTTAAAGGTCACTAAAACATAAGGGTTTTTAAAGTCTTCTAGCAAGTCATGGAAACTAGAGCTTCAGTTTCCTGTGAACATTTTTGGCAGTCCTGAAAAATGCCTCCCTTCTAAAATGCTCTTAAAAAATAAATAAATCCCCTCATTTTTAAAACTAAAAATAAATGGCAGTAAATTGTAATACAAGCTTATAATTGTTTGTGTTAATCCATAACATAAGTGAGATACAGAGGTTAAAAAACATACTGTACAGAGTAAATGCCATATGCTTTATACAAGGGAGGAGGGAAACTGAAGAGAAGTAGTGAACATTTGCCGTCATCTATTACCCATCTCCCAGCAAGTTGTATGGTTGCACTTTGTTATTCCAATCCATAATAAACAATGACAATCTATCAATAAAGCTTTTACTCCCTTGCCAACCTTCTCTGTTTTTGATCCTGTCCGTCAGCTTCAGCATGTATCCCATATCCCATTCAACCATCTTCTTGTGTCAGAGATTCTTTCTGTTCCCACTTTTGGCAGACTGCCATCCTGACAGCCGTAAATACATAAGTAAGCATTTCTCTATTCACCCTGTTTACTTCATTTTCTGTGTTACCAAACAAAATGATTAATGGGGCCTGCTTTGTTACAACCTGTCATTTCCTTGGTGTTCACCAACACTAACTCCCAGAACAACTTAGTACGCATACACCAAACGTGATATTTCCACTCCTGTTGTCCCACATCTCCAAGATTTGTCATCTGCTCTGGGATATATGTGAAATCAATCCTTTGATATGTTTCTGTACACCTTTTCCTTGCCCTGACTTCCTCTCACTCTCACTTTTCTAACACTTCCGAATATGAAAGCATCAGCATCAGTGTAAGCAGATGCCTTCATATAGGTAGGGTTGCCATATTTCAAACTGTGAAAATCTAGGCAGTTGTTGAGCTTCTTTTAGTTTTGCCCAAAGTTGTTGAGCTCTTTAGGGACACGGGTGGCGCTGTGGGTTAAACGACAGAGCCTAGGACTTGCCGATCAAAGGTCGGCGGTTCGAATCCCCGCAATGGGGTGAGCTCCTGTTGCTCGGTCCCTGCTCCTGCCAACCTAGCAGTTCGAAAGCACATCAAAGTGCAAGTAGATAAATAGGTACCACTCCAGCAGGAAGGTAAACGGCGTTTCCGTGCACTGCTCTGGTTTGCCAGAAGCGGCTTAGTCATGCTGGCCACATGACCCGGAAGCTGTTCGCTGGCTCCCTCGGCCAGTAAAGCGAGATGAGCGCCGCAACCCCAGAGTCGGTCACGACTGGACTTAATCGTCAGGGGTCCCTTTACCTTTACCTTGTTGAGCTCTTTGCCACTTTTGAGCTACTTTTATGGAAAAACTGCAAAAACGGCACTGCCGCCATGTCCGGATTTTCCCAGACATTTTCCCAATTTCTGCCCAGATACAGTGGTGCCTCGCAAGATGAAATTAATTCGTTCCGCGAGTTTTTTCGTCTAGCAAATTTTTCGTCTTGCGAAGCACGAAATCCCATAGGAATGCATTGAAATTCAATTAATGCGTTCCTATGGTCAAAAAAAGTCCAAACAAAGCCAAATTTGGTACAACAAGAGTTTAAGTGCTCTTTAAAGTCACGCATACTGTAAAGAGCATTTCAAAAATTGAAGGAACAATAAATTAAGTTTCTAAACATGACAGAAAAACATTTAAAAATCAACAAAGTGTACAGTACATTTTCTAAGACTCTGGGGGACAACTCGAAGAAGGTTCCTCTTCCACCCTTTGCTTCTTGCTGAAGAACCTGTCCATGGTCTGCTGCTTCATCCGCCTTTTCAACACCTCCCTGAAAGGCGACATGACCCTCGTATCAAAAGTGTTCGCAAGGTCATGTGCCACGTGCTTGTCAGGGTGGTGCCACTGTGCAAAAGCCTGCACATCCTTCCACTTCAGGCAAATGTCCCTCAGTTCTTTGGAGGACAGCCGTTCCTCAGTTGCTTCCTCCTCTTCCAGCGAGGCCTGCTCCTGCGCAGCCTCTGCCTGCAGTTCGACCAGCTCCTGGGTGGTCAGCTCGTGGTCGTGCTCCTCCACCAGCTCGCTGATGTCCTCCTCTGTGACCTCCAGGCCCATGGTCCTCCCCAAGGCAACAATGTCCTGCACCACTGTTGACTCTGGTGCATCAGAGTCACTTGGTGCCACACAGTCCAGCCACAGGCTGCGCCAAGCGCAATTCAAATTTCTCTGGCTGATCCCGTTCCAGGCCGTGTTGATCATCTTCAAGCAGGTGACGATGTTGAAGTGGTCCTTCCAGAATTCCCGCAGGGTGATGGTGGTGCAATCAGTCACCTCGAAGCATCGCCTGAAAAGCTCCTTGGTGTAGAGTTTTTTGAAATTGGCGATGACCTGCTGATCCATCGGCTGGAGCAGTGGCGTGGTGTTAGGTGGCAGGAACATGATGCTGATGAAGCTGAACTCCTCCAACAAGTCCTCCTCAAGGCCTTTAGGATGAGCAGGAGCATTGTCCATCAGAAGCAAAGCCTTCAGCGGCAGGTCGTTGTCCAGCAGGTACTGTTTGACAGCAGGGCCAAAAGCAAGATTGACCCAGTCCACAAACAGCACACGTGTGACCCAAGCCTTACTGTTGGATTGCCACATGACACTCAGCTGCTCCTTGTCGACCTTGTGTTTCTTGAAGGCCCATGGGTTCTCTGAGTGTACACCAGCAGGGGCTTGATCTTCAGGTCGCCGCTTGCGTTGGCACAGAAGAGCAGGGTCAGGCGGTCCTTCATGGGCTTGTGGCCAGGCAACTTGGCCTCCTCCTGTGTGATGAAAGTCCTTTTGGGCATCCTCTTCCAAAACAGCCCGGTCTCGTCGCAGTTGAAGACCTGCTGTGGAACGTAGCCCTCCGTCTTCACAACCTCCAGGAACTCCGCTGCAAAGTCTTCAGCCACAGAAACATCAGAACTGGCAGCCTCTCCATGCCTGACCACGCTGTGGATTCCAGATCTTGTCTTGAACCGGTCAAACCAGCCTCTGCTTGCCTTGAAGACTTCTGGCTCGCCTGAGGTTCCTGGCTGTTCCCGGACGAGGTCTGCGTGCAAGGCCTTGGCCTTCTCACAAATGACAGCCTCAGTCACTGTGTCCCCTGCACGCTGCTTCTCTTCTAACCAGATGAGCAGCAACTTCTCCACCTCCTCCAGAACAGCTGGGCGGTTCTTCACGATCCTGGTGACTCCCTTGGCTGCATCAGTCACAAGGATCTTCTCCCTCATCTTCAGGATGGTCCCGATGGTCGATGGATTCATCCCGAACTCCCTGGCGAGGTCTGTCACACGCTTTCCACCGTCGTGTTTCCGGATGATCTGCTTCTTCATTTCCAGCGTAACCTTCTCCTTCTTCCCCTCGCCGGCCTCTGCAGCAGCAGTCTTCTTGGGTCCCATGGCAGCACAGCTCCTACCTGCGCACCCCCCCCCAAAAAATCAGTGCTTCACATCCAAAAAATTCAAAAGCACCCAGCCACCCACCACACAGAAATTCAAACCCAGAACCAAGTCCTTGAATTCCAAACACCCCAACCCAAAATCCAAAAACCCCCCAAAAAGTTTTAAAAGTTTAACTTACCGAATGGCTGCAAAAGAAGTTTTGGAAAAGCTTCAAAAATCACCAAAGTCTTCAAAAACCTCAACTATTCCCCCAGCCACCCACCACACAGAAATTGCAAACCCCTCCCCAACTGTTGCAAACCCCTCCCCAACTGTTCCCCCAGTCACCCACCACACAGAAATTCAAATCCAGAATTTTTTTTAAAAAAACAGCAGAGTGGCCCAATGGTCACAAAAAATCATAAAAATGCAGAAAAAAAACACAAGCTTCCAGATTCTTGCAAACCCCTCCCCAACGCCAAGTCCTTGAATTCCAAACACCCCAACCCAAAATCCAAAAACCCCCAAAAAAGTTTTAAAAGTTTAACTTACCAAATGGCTGCAAAAGAAGTTTTGGAAAAGCTTCAAAAATCACCAAAGTCTTCAAAAACCTCAAAAAAGGCTACCACACCGCGTGCTATGAGTTGCTCCTCGAAGTCAAGTCACAACTGCACCTCTTCAAGCAATGCACCCTGGGTATTAACGGTTTTACGAAAAAGGAAACAAACTTGCAAGACGTTTTCGTCTTGCGAAGCAAGCCCATAGGGAAATTCGTCTTGCGAAGCACCTCAAAAAACGAAAAACCCTTTCGTCTAGCGAGTTTTTCATCTTGCGAGGCGTTCGTCTTGCGGAGCACCACTGTACTGCTCCCAACTGCTGTATTCCAAATATGCCTGGGAAAATCCAGATGTATATCCTATGTACAGGTCTCTACAGCCACAGCAGGCACCGTAACTCTCCACTGCCCAAAGATGCATGAAACATTGTTTCACGGAACAGACAGATGCCAACCACTCAGAAGTAAGTCTCATTGAATTCAGTTGGGCTTATTCCCAAGTAAGTATGATTAGGATTGCAGCCTTGTTATCCTGGTTTCACAGTTAACTATAAACTTAATCCTGTCTTGGTTTCCTAACTCAGGTATCTGAGAAGGACAATTTAGCTTCCTGTTGATGTTTTGCTCTTTGTTTTCTTGGATTGCATACATTCCTGCGGGCATATTAAACATTTACAGGCACTCTCCTTCAATTAGCGTAATACAGTTAAGTCCTTTCTGCAATGCAACATTTTATTCCATAAATATTTATTTTTTTAAAAAAAGGAAATGGTGGTGTTTGCATCTGCTGAAACATAACATCTGCTGGAAACGATGCCTTATGAGGAACGGCTAAGGGAGCTGGGCATGTTTAGCCTGGAGAAGAGGAGGTTAAGGAGTGATATGATAGCCATGTTCAAATATATAAAAGGATGTCACATAGAGGAGGGAGAAAGGTTGTTTTCTGCTGCTCCAGAGAAGCGGACACGGAGCAATGGATCCAAACTACAAGAAAGAAGATTCCACCTAAACATTAGGAAGAACTTCAGAGCTGTTTGACAGTGGAATTTGCTGCCAAGGAGTGTGGTGGAGTCTCCTTCTTTGGAGGTCTTTAAGCAGAGGCTTGACAACCATATGTCAGGAGTGCTCTGATGGTGTTTCCTGCTTGGCAGGGGGTTGGACTCGATGGCCCTTGTGGTCTCTTCCAACTCTATGATTCTATAACGCTCAAGTTAATTTATGCTTAGTTTGATCACACAGGGTTCCACATTGTTCAATGCTCTCTGAACCTCCCCATTTGAGCCACCCACCTTAAATGTGCAAGCCAGCACAAAGGCAACACCCAGGGGAAACAATTAAAAGGTGATTATTTGCCCAACATGTGAGTGTTTTTTTGAGGGGAGGAGAATCTACTCTTCTCTTATTGGTTATTTCTACCTAGAGATCACTACATGGACAGCTAATATTTCTTTTCCTGTTTTCATATTTGCTTTCTTCCCTCACTCTACATAAGTGGAGATATTTAGAAAAGGAAAGCCCTTTCATCCATGTTTCCACCTCACAAACAGACATTTGGAAGCCTGCAAGGTGGAAGAGGGAAGTTTGAGGCAGTTTCTGCCTACTTCAAAGTTAACTGAGTTATTGAATTCTTGGCCTGGGGCCACCTTTGCAAAGCTGAGAAATGGCTGTGGGCACCATGCACAACGCACACCACAATCTATTTTATTGGCTGCAATATAATGTTTCTTGAAAGTTTAATATCAGTGTTGAGTGGTGAGGATAGGAGCCCTGTGGAAAACAGGGCAGCCCTCTGTGGGTGCATTTGTGCCCACAGGTCGCAGGTTGGTGCCCCCCGCATTAACCATTAGGTTGCTATCATGGCACAACTATGGCAAAATAAGCTTGACTGATGGGTCCCCCCCACCTCAACCAAAACAATCAAAATCTTGAACAACACCTTTGGGGTGGTTTCAGGCATTTTCATAAATTTGCATGAGTGGGTGTATTTTCTCTAAGAGTCAAAATGGAATTTTTAAATGCACAAATAAGGCTGCACTGTATTAATAAGGTAAACACTTCTCTGACTTAAGGATAGCTTTAAGGATAGTGTGTGTACAGGTTGTTGTATTTTTGAGGTAGTGCACAGCATTTGCCCAGCTATCCTGCTATCTGTTCTCCTTTGCCTCATTATGCGTTTCCTCATTAGTTCGTTCCTTGCCATTGTTGCTCAGCAATTCTTTACAGTAGGTGGTCATTGCTTTTATTTTATTTGTCCTTCTGCTTTGTTTCTCTTGGGAAAGGCTCCAGGTGTTCTGTCTATCATGTTCATCCTTGCTCTGTCTGGAACACCACATCCAGGACTGACAGCCTGGTTAAAGAGGAGCTCAAAATGAGGAGAATCTCCTTAATTGCCTGTGTTTTGGCTTTCAAAAACAGCTTTCACACCTAAAGCTGGACTGGCTCACATCTGGGGCTGTCAGGTTTTTGGCTTGCAAATTAAGAAATCAGCTGCACCCGCTTCCCTCAGGGTTATCTGGGGGAAAGCTAAATTTGATGCATAAAGTGAAAACACACAGCCTAATTTCCATAGAGAATACAAACAACATATTTCCTTAATATGAACTCATATGAATTATTTTGAGTTATTGGTGCCCTCCCCCACCCTCCACTTTTAAGAACAAATAAACAAAAAAATCTGGAGGTGTGCCTAAGTGGAGGCCATTTTGGTCTGAGAATAATGTAGAAATCTCAGTTATTCTGTCCCTCAGTGGGTGTTTACTGAATGTTGTTCATTTATTTAAGGGTGCAAGTCTATGGTCTTTGGAAAGTTACCAGGATACAGGTCTATTACTATTACGATGATCAACATCACCATCCTCATAATAACCATCATACCAGCAAAGTAGATCTATTAGAGCACAGCTGTGCAACAGAACCTCCTTTCCCTCTCCTCTCATGCCCCCTGCACCTTACTATGGGTTCCTTGACCCCCTGGAGCAGATTTGGGGAGCGTGCCTGGGTAGAGAAGAGGGAGGGAAAATTCCATGATGCAAGCAGGCATTCTTGCACTAGTGGATCTACTTTGTGGGGTCCCACCTATTGTTGTTGTTATTTATTATTACAGTGGTACCTCAGGTTACATACACTTCAGGTTACATACGCTTCAGGTTACAGACTCCGCTAACCCAGAAATAGTACCTCGGGTTAAGAACTTTGTTTCAGGATGAGAACAGAAACTGCGTGGCGGCAGCAGCGGGAGGCCCCATTAGCTAAAGTGGTGCTTCAGGTTAAGAATGGACCTCTGGAAGAAATTAAGTATTTAACCCAAGGTACCACTGTACTATAATAGGTTTCTAAGCTACTGCAGCGGTCTTCCCTTGACTGGCAGGGGAAACCTCTGCCACTATAGGTGCTTCATCAACAGTGCCCCATGGGTGGTAAGGGCAAAAGTGTAAGGGTGTTCTGGGGGCATGTCAGAGATGGACTGAGAGGGACCTTTAGATCCACCCATTCCAAAGTTCCCTAAGTTCTCAGAAATGCACATCCAGTTCAATGGGGAAAACTCTGCCTGACCTTGAGCTGGCATAGTTATTTCCGCTATAATTTGAAAAGAAACAAATGGGTAATTTAGTTTCGGTGCTAGGAGAGACTGTTTCTAGCTGTCAAGGGAGCAAAGTCTGGCTATCATATATTGGAAGTTTTCACAATTTATAAGTAAGTCATGGAAAGATTTGTTAGAAGTTCTACTTTGAGGCATGATTTCCCTCTCCCGTATATGGCTATCTCCAAGTTCAGTGCTAATGCCTTCCAGTGCAATCCTAGCCATGCCCACTCAGAAGTCAGTCTTATTGAATTCAATTCTCCCAGGTAAATAGGGTTACTAGCCACAATGGCCATGCTCTGCGTCCAATATCAAAGACACCATGCCTCTGAATACATGTTGTGGGGAATTTTGGTTGGGCAGAGTGCTGTTGTCCAACTTGCAAGCTTCCCACAGGCATCTGGTTGGCCATTGTGAGAATAGGATGCTGGACTAGATGGGCTGTCAGTTTGATCCAGCAGGCTTATCTTATGCTATTAGACATGGGTAGCAAACTAACGCCCGGGGGCCGGATCCAGCCCAATCGCCTTCTGAATCCGGCCCACAGGTGGTCCGGGAATCCGCGTGTTTTTACATGAGAAGAATGTGTCCTTTTATTTAAAATGCATCTCTGGGTTATTTGTGGGGCATAGGAATTCGTTCATTCCCCCCCAAAAAAAAATAGTCCGCCCCCCCACAAGGTCTGAGGGACAGTGGACCGGCCCCCTGCTGAAAAAGTTTGCTGACCCCTGCTATCAGAGTTAAGATTGCTACCTTAAGCAATTCCATACCTGTAGCAAAGAATGAGAGTCTTCCTCTTTTCTTTAATTACACATGAAGAGTCAGGTTGAAGCTAAGAAAATTGCAACCCCCATAGCACTGGTTGCCTGAAGCACTACTTCACCTAGCTTCATGGTTAATGCTAGACCAGGCATGGCCAAACTTGGGATGTTTGGGGACTATAATTCCCACCATCCCTGACCACTGGTCCTGTTAGCTAGTGAAAATGGAAGTTGTAGTCCCAAAACAGCTGGAGGGCCACGTTTGGCCATGCCTGTGCTAGACCTTTGCATGTTATATCTGCTTTCTACTTAGCAAATGGCTGCAGCACGTGGAATATCTTCCCTGCAGCATAATAAACATCCAGCTAGTTTTTGAGTAGCAGATGTCAAACTACATCTCACACACATGCTTCTTGGGCTATCTTTAGCTGTCACTGGTGAAGCCAATAAGCTATATATTTGGATTCCACTTTCACCTGAAAAACAGACTATTCAAAAGTGGCTTATCCGTATCTTTATTCTTATAACTTGCCAGATGGAACAAAAAATGAAAGACTGAAATAGTACCTGTCTCTCCCTTCAATCCTGTTCACTTTCTCCCCCCCCCCCAATTTGTTTTATAACGGGAAGCCTTGCAGAGAGGAAGCCTGATAAATAGAGCCAAGGGAATGATGGCTGTTTTGCTACTATGCTGCAGTTATAGCCTTCTAAATCATAAAATGTTAACAGCAAAACTAAATTTAGACATGTTGATAGCTGAAACCATACAGCAATATGGCACAGCCATTGCCTGCTATGCTTTGAGGACCCCCCAAAAACTCCCTCCTATACCATTAATATAAACTGGTTAAATCACTTTAATACTCCAGGTGTCTCGCCCACCCCAACTCTTTGCCCACTGACCTCCTTTTTCTATTCTCTGCCCTCCGCCTTCAATTGTCACAATGGTAAAACTAGGAGGATGAAAAACAAATCAGACAGACTGTCAATTTCCAGGGATGTTCTATACATAAATCAAGTTCAATAATCTTCTCACCTGAATATTTCAGCTTTAGTAAAACAACAACAACAACAACAACAACAACAACCTGTCTTGTGATGTTAAACAGGGCTGGTCTGGAGCAATTTGGGTTTTTGTCCAAAGGTTTCAGAAGAGCAGTAAGAGTCTATAAGCACTACAGTACAACTGCATTTTTTTTTAAGCACCTTAAGACAAACAGCTTTAAAAGATTCCCTCCTCAGTACCTTGCCAGATGTGAAATGGTAACAATGTTGTACGCAAGGGAAAATACAAGGTCTTGTATGAACCTTCAGGATTAGGAAATTACAATGTGGGAGAAGAAGAAAAGATAAATAAAGGCAGCAACCATGCAATATCAATATAAAAAAATATGCAGGACAATCCTATGCATGTGTCTTTGGATGCAAGACTAAGAGTTTGATGGGGATTACTCTCAGATAAGTATCCAGAGTATTACAGCCTGTGAACAGGATTGCAGCCACAATCTCAAACAGCTGGAATACTGGAAAAATACAGATTCCTTCTCAATAGTCTGAGAACATATAAAGCAATTTATTTTAAAAAATTAAAAAATAAAATACCAACAACATGCAAAGTTTACATTTGACTACCTTGGATTTTTGACGGCATATATTTCATGCCCAAAGTAACCAAGGCCAGTACCTCAGTATCCTCTCCACTAACCACTAAGAGCCTGTTTTACTTGACTATCTAAGGATGGCCTGGACTGATGTTAAGAATGTCTCAATCTGAAGCTCATAAAAGCTCATAAGAGTTCAGCCAGGGTAATCACATCCTGAATTTTCCAGTCTCCCTCAGTTTAAAAATGCTATGCTTATAAGCAATGGCAAATCATTAAGTGAAGATCCCTCATTTATTTGATGATGGTACAGTCCCCATCTGGTGGTTTTTCTTATGCTGGGAAAAGCTATTAGATTTAGTAAATTGCAGAGTGAGCCAGGACATCTAGGTTCATTCCTGTCCCTATGTTTATAAGGACAGCCTTAATTGCTTCCTGCTTTAAAATGCTGAGAATAATACCCACCTTCTCTTGGAAAGTTCACAGAGGTATGCTATGTCCATATAAGCTCATTCATTCTTGGGTACAGACCGTGGATGCGAAGGTGGAAAGAAGCCCGGAGTTCAAAGTAAAGATGCAGGAGAAATTCAGTTTGGTTTGCATTTTAATGAGAACCTATCTAATTCACACTTCCTGAAACAATTTGCTAAGGGAAATGCAGCTGTCCTTTGAAATGCACACTTCTCTGAATTTTGCCATGCAGTTCTCTATCCATAAACTGTATTAAAACATGTGCATTGGGGGGAAAGTGTGCATAAAGATACATATTTTAGTGAAAATGTATTAAATGTATTAAGGAAACTTGCATGTAAAAAAACGTATTAGGAGAAATAAGCACTAAAATGCTGGCAAATTTTCATAAGGACTTTTTAAAAAATTGCAAAATAATGTGGAGAACCTAATTGTCACCTCATTCTATCCCTCATTCAAAGGCCAGCCCGCTAGGGTAACTTAACTGTCCTTGAACTCTAGTTTCTTTTCTGTGAAGTGGGACTGCCAACTTCTAGTTTGGCCATCTAACTCAGAATCCTGAAGAACACAAATGTTTTTGGGACTTATAGGCCACAATTCTGTACTCCAATATCAAAACAACATGATCAACGGTCCCAACAACCCAGCTTTCTTCTAGAATGTGTCATCAGTCTATGGCAGAAGAGCTCCCATCCTAGGATTTGTGTTTCCCAGCCAAATGGCCTTGTACTAATACTTGGTCAAGTACTAATATCACAACATTTAACATTTGTAAAGCACTGTCACGTCGTCAAAGCACTGTTCATACTCATTATCTTGCAACTCTTGCATCAATCATAGAATTGTAGAGTTGGAAGGGACCATGAGGGTCATCTAAGTCCAACCCCCTTCAGTACAGGAATCTTTTGCCCAACGTGGGGCTTGAATCCACAACCTCATTTGGTGATTACTAGGAGTGCCCACTGGCTTTGTGTGTACCCCAAACAACAAGAAAAATGGGGGTGATTCAGGTCATGTCCTCGCAAGACACATTAACAAGGTGTCTTGAGGCAGATCAGCCACCACTCTAAATTTCTGAGTTGTTTTTTTCCAAAAAGTTTAATGCACAATTTTTTATTTTTTTATGAGAAAAGAAACCATGCTGACTTTAAGAAATCCCCAAAACTCAAGAAGTGGGGGAGAGGGGAGGATTTTTCATTTTGATGGACATGTCTGCTTTTAACCACAACAAAATATTTTATGAGGCTGCTCCAATCCCAATGATTTGCAGGAGGAATCTTGAAGTAAATAAGCAGGGTTGTTTCTCATCATTCTTTCCAGAGTTTTGGCTGTGAGAGCAAGGCATAAGCAGTGGTGTTAGGCTATTGGGGTGATCTGCTTCTTCTTTAGGTGTTTTTTGTCCCAAGCAACAATTAAAAATCCTAGATCTCTCTCTTTTTTTGTTCCTAGAAGGTACTTCCAGAAAAGAGGTGGCAGCAAAAAACAAACTATGACTTTTCTAATTTTGCTATAAACAAAGGTAAAATGACTGAGCTTGATAGTCCCATAACCTATTTGTCTGAACTTTGGCAGATTTCTTACCTAAGGATGCCTTCATAAAAGTTATAGCCATTTTGGATTCCCCATTCTAGTTAATGGAGGTGGGACAAAGATTCAGATTTAACAGAAAAGTAGACCCAAATAATGAATCAAATCAGAGCACATCTGAAACAGATCAGGCTGCTCCCCAAACTACAGATACAAGGTGAATCTTGTGGTTGCTGCCCACCTTTAATGATTACCATATTACTAAACCTGCATTAGAGATGGGGAGTTGAGAATGAGAAGACATATCTTCCAGAAAGCCATTAAGTCCCTCTATGATAGCTATGAGGTGTAAACCAGAAATTTATATATTATATTATTATATATTATATTATATTAATTTACACACACATAATTTTTTTAAAGCTAGCAGTGAGAAGCCACTCTTTAAATTCAGTAGCTCCTCGGTTTCATGGCTGAAGATTCCAAGATGGGCTTCATCCAACTCTTTTGTCGAAAGGACTGTGGCAGCCCCAGTCAAAGATCTGTGGAAGGGTGAATGTTTGCAACTAGCTCCTGGAGCATTTGGATGTTATGATAAACGAACAGTGGGAAACTGGACATGACCATGGGACCAGATCCTTCCTCCCTTCTACCTACAGGTGAACTTTGCCAGATGTAGGTAATGATATCAAGTGAAAACTTGAACGGAGATCACCTTTGAAGTCCACTTACAAGTTTTTCAGTACAAACCCCTAGCAAACAGACTTCAAAGTGATGGCTACCATGCCTTTATCTGCCTCACACCTGACATCACAAGTGACATCAGGGGAGGTCAAGTGGGTGTGGTTTGGGGAAAATGGCCCCCAGACCATATTAGGATTCCTGATGGGATATGCATGGGTTAAATAAGGATGAAAAATGCACTATGTTCTTGTAGGTGAAACAATTTAAAATCTGCTTATTTTAAATGCCTCTAATGAATATTGTAACACTAGTAAAACACATGAAACAGCTTCAGTTGTTGCTTTAAAAATCAGAATTTGCAGATCAACAGAATAAAATGTTGCCTGTTACATTAATACACACATAGACTATCAAGCTGAAATAATTATTATTATTATTAATAATAATAATAATAATAATAATTACTACTATTATTATTATTTCAAGGAGGGAAAGAGCACACAATAAAAGTTTAGGGCAAAAAATGATAACAGCAAAGGGAAAAATAGTTTACTGTTGTCCCTGGAGACAGTCAATTACAGTTTATAAGCCACAAAACTGAGATAAGCAACTGAAAGTCACTGATGTATCAGAACCAGTAAGAAAATATGACACCATGCATCAAAATAATGCAATCCATATGAAGCCTTGATTACTCTCTGCAGCCATCCTGTTTGATAAAGCGGTGGGTAAACAGTGCACTGCCAGCTATTAAAATGCCTTCCCATGTTTACTTGCTGAGCTGCGTGGATGGAGCTGAGAAAAAGAGAAAGAAGAAGGCGCTTTGTGCTCTGCTTTTGATGTAAATTTGAAAGCACTTTCTGTAGAAATAATGCCTTCAGAATTCACTCAAAGTTCACTTTTCCCAGAGAAGCCAGATTTACAATCTTTTCTCCTTTGCATCATTACAGAAGTGATGTGTTCATTCATCTGAGCTTAAACCACAAGCTCTGTACTCTGACAATATTTGTCTTCACTGATACATTTTCCATGCTCTGAACAAGCAGCCACTTTGAAGTCCACCTCTTCCCACAAGCCCCTGTCAGCAAACATATCTTTCACCAGCCTGCAGTAAGGCATATTTTTTTAATTATCCACCCTGAAACCACCAGCAAAGCGTATAACCTTCAAGGAATTGATTGATCCAGTGGATCGCTGTTTCCCCACTGCGCATATCACATGTAGACAAAACAGCAAAATCCCCACAGATATCAAGTTTTAAAATGCAATCGAAACAGACAGAAACACAGAAATGTCAACATTCACTCTTCCTGACTTTATCAGTTATGCAGCTCTGTATATGTATGTTCATCATTCTCCTTTTTATGGCGTTGACTGGCCCGACATCCTTTGCCCTCTTAGACTCCCCACTTCAGGAATGCCAAACTCAGTATCTTTCACAGTATCTATTACGTAATGTGGATGTTATGTAAATCATACTTAATATAGGATTTTAGAGGGAGGGAAGCAGGCAATACTAAAGAGCAGTAGTAATGAAGAATTATCTTTTTTGGAAAAGACACAATCCAGTTCTTCATATGCATGCACACAACACCTTTAAAGAATAGGTTATGTCACATTTGAGAAGCCTGGGGGGGCATATGAAGCCCTCAACTTCATTTTATGCATCCCCAACAGCTCCTAACATAACCCGGAAGCTGTATGCCGGCTCCCTCAGCCAATAAAATGAGATGAGCACCACAACCCCAGAGTCGGCCACGACTGGACCTAATGGTCAGGGGTCCCTTTACCTTTACCTTTAACAGCTCCTAAAGCTGTCTCATTCTTCCATACCATAAAAATTCATAAAACCATATAATTGTACAATTGGAAGGGACACTAAGGGCTATCTAGTACAATGGCCTGTAATTCAGGAATCTTGTACCCAATGTGGGGCTCTAACCCTGAGATTAATACCCTCATGCTCTACTGACTGAGCTACCCCTTCTTTCCCATTATTTTTCTCTTTATTTTCCCATTGCTTTTCAAAGTGCTCCCTGTTTCATGTAGTTTCAGAAAAATTTGGAAGAGGCAGGATTTCATTTGAGATAAATAAATTGATGGTGTGTTTTAATAACTTTCTCCTGGTTGTGTGGCAGGGCTAGGGGAGTGTTTGCTGCAGTTGTTTAAGAACAAGCTGGTAGCACACTAGAGTCTGAAAGGAATTGCTTACACTTGCTTTCCAGAACAGTATTGGTGTGCTATACTATTTTTTATTTATTTTTAAATCTCTTTATATTTTCTGAGAGTAAACAAATCAAACTCAGTAGGCCTTACTTTTGAGTAGACCAGTGTAGTATTGGGAAGCCTCATCTGAGGAGCCATGGTAAGAATTGAAGCAGAGCAGTATTTATTCCAGATTGGTTAATACAGAACACTTGACAATCTGGGAGGGGAGAAATAGAATGCTTAGTAGACTGGGTGCAGAGCCCTTACCTTCTCCAGGGGTAAACAGAATGGAGTGGCTGGAAAAGAAGAACAACGAAACAAATTACATTTCCTTGTCTATGTACATCACTTCCTAGTTCACGCTGAGAAACTATGGTATTTTAAAATGTTCCCAGGGCAAAAGAGAGAGCTGTTTCAAAGGTGAAATTAAATCATTTCATGTACCTGGGACACCTTCCCTCTACCTTCCAAAAAGGTGGACACCACCATGCCACCCTCCCAAATAGAGGAAACTTCCTAAAAGACACACACACACACCCTGCCTAATGAGGACTGAGCATGCTCAATGTCACTGGCTACTAAATGTTGGGTGAGTGGGTTAAGGAAAACCAGATGTAGGTGGATAGTAAAGAGTTGCCTGAACACTGCAGAAGCACCCCACATTGCAACATCTTGTTGCAGGGATTTAATATTTTCTCAAAATCCTCGAAGTTAGAATTCTGCACCTCTCACAAGCCCCCATTAGTGCTTAGTTCACTGGCTTTTGGCTTGTCAGGCCATCAGTGCCACCAGAGCAGTTACAAGGGCAGCTCGGAGCTTTCTATGATAAAAGAGAAAAACAACTAGGGAGAATTTGGGCTAATGTGGAAGAGGGAAGAGAGCTAGAATCTCAGGGGTGTTGGAATACATTGACAGCTTGTAACTATGAACATGCTACTGAACAAAAACCAACGAACCCAAAACAGATACTTCCTTCTTTGGAATAAGGGGGGAAAAACACACCCTTGAATTGACAGATTATTTATTTATCACATCCCAGAAGTTGTATCTTCGGCAAGTTACATTTGGGCCTTTTCACAAATGGGACCAGTATCACAAATAATCTATCATTATGTCCTCCAAACTGTTCTAACAACGATGCCTATTACTGGTAGACTGACTGTGGGGGTGGGGAACCTTAATATGGACATTTTTCTGCCAATGCCAGAAGCCTAGATTAGCCTAGAAGTTTCATTAGTGAATAGTCAATAGAGTGTTATGTTCATTATATGTTGAATATTGACATTTTTTTATTTAAAAAAATTTGTTTCCCCCTTGAGTCCAGCATTAATATTTATCTAGAGGGGAATATTTATTTATTTCACCCCCTCCCCACTCTTCCTCCTTGCTCTTCTCTTTTAACACTCATGAGCAGAAGAAAAAGCACAACCCAACATATACCACACACATTCCTCAGCCTGAGTCATATTGTTAGTTCCACAACACTTCAGATGAATGGGCCCCCTCTTCAAATGGGTAAAAATGTTGACCAGTGTTACCTGCACCAAAAAGGCAAACAATTCACTTCCAAATGCAACAAAACAAGCTCAGGAACCCAGAGTGAATAAACAAGACAAGACAAATTTTTCCATCTGCAGGTAGTTTTGTAAAGGAGCTTCTTTGAGCGATGAATTATGCTAAGCCCATTTTACAACCATGAAAGTAAGTTTGAGGGAGGGAGGTGGTTTTCCGTTTCCTCTCCTGACCCACACATATTGACCACTAATGAGAACCCAAACCAGTTTAACAAACTTGCTCTCTAACCCCAACATGGACTTCCATGCTATTTGAAATTATCTCTTCCTTCTTTCCCTCTTAAAAAAAAACGGTGTTCCTGTTTATTATGCATGCGGCTGTACCACAAATATTGTGCCAAGATCCTGACTGATCTATTTTTACTATGTGGGAAAGAGTATAGTGAATCTGTCAATGCTATGTACAGCTAGTAATAATTCCAATAATTATGGAAATAGTGGGGTGTAAACATGGCTGACACAGACTTCCAGCTCTCCCAATTTGACCAAGAATGAGTTATTCTTTCTCAACATTCTCTCTCAGTCCTCAGGGGGCTGATTTGGGTGTCCACCCGCTTAAGGTTTTTTTCCTAGACTTTTTTCCCCCTTGCAAACTTTCACACCTCCTTTCTCCTTTTTCTTTTTGCATGGATGCTGCCATTTTTGCTACACAAGGATCAGCATTCACCCTTGAATTTTGGGACTGAATAGACTGATGTTTGTTTGTTTGTTAAAACATAGGATACAAGGCTGGAAGCACACAGACAACATTGAATTGGATTTCAAACAATCCAAACAGTCTTTCAGTTTTGACCGTGCTTTGACAAGGTTTGATTTTTCTTCACTTGAACCCCACTTATACTCAGTTTTGGTTTCTCTCCATTTCTCTTTTTTCTAATTTTAAATTCAATGCTCCACACTCCCACTTTAGTTTGTGGGTTGCAGCTTTTAAGCCCTCATGAAAATTCATTAGCACTTTAGTGCAAATTTATCCTAAGATACACATCAGGGGAAACTGCTTTGCAAAAATATGTGTTTTATGTTATTTTAACTAATATATGCATTTCTATGCACACTTTACATTCATATATGCATTTTTGTGTGCTGGAGAAATGCACTGCAAAATTCAGAGAAATGTGAATTTCTGAAGGATGACTCTGATTGGTTCATAGGAGCCAATTCCTAGGGGCTGAGGGGCCTTTGGCCCCCAGTAAAATATTTGAGCGGGTTGGAGTTCCCGAAGTTGATGGGCATTGCCATTCAAATGGAGTCCATGCACCGTGTCATGTGTTTATGTGGCACAGGGCTTACTTGCTTCTCCCCATATTTTACCCCTGGATTGGTTTGCATATTGTTTCGGAATCTGCAATGCATGAAAGTTTGCATTTGAATGCAAACTGAATTGAATTCCTCCCCCATCCCTAGGCTCTACTGTAACCAGTAGCATTCGACTGCAGGTTGAAAAAGAACCAGCATGCACATGTCATGGATTGGCTGAGTTGTATTTTGTTTCCTTGAATAAAGAGTTTACTTCACTGACATTGGAGCTTTGCTTCCTTTCTTGCTAACCTGCATCTGACTGCAGCCCTGACAGCAGATAACTATATATGTGTAGCAAAAGGTCCGGCACACCCAGCTGTATGTGTACAGCTTTTATTCTAAAATTTCAACTACCTGTACACATGCATAGGAGTAGAGGACATTAGATGTAGTATCACTCTCTGCTCTACATGTGGTGAAAGGTTGTGTGAAATTGTTCCTATGAACAGACAACTGACTTCGCTGAAAAGCATTGCATCTGAAATTATTTGAGGAGCCCCTGATATCCCATAGCCAGACTGCTTACGTTTGATGAAACCAGCCACCAAATTCTACATGCCCAAATTTTCCACAGCTGAGTTTAGAGACAGGGAAGTAAACTGGCCACATTTCTTATCAAATTTTGCCAACAATTAACATAACCAAGCTGGTGACTGGAAATGGTTTTGACAGGGGCCTCTACGCCACACCAGGCAGGCAAAGTTCCCCTGGTTATCTTTAAAGGTTTCCACTACTATATGAAAATCTCATTATAAACTGTTAGAAATTGTGGAACAGACCTCCCTCAGGTGACTGAAAACGTCTTTCGCTATGGCAGCTGAATAGAACATTAGAACCAGAACTTTAAAACACAAAAATTGAAGAGCTGGCTATCACTTTAGCATGCTGATATTGGTATGTCTTTACATTCTGGGTTGCTATTGTTTTCTAATTTGAATTTTTATCCCAGTTTTCCCTTGAATGCTTGGGTTAACATTTAGAAAAATGTTAAAGGGGAGGATCAGACACTTATAGGCACACTAGATAAGCTTAATACACATGAAACCATTTGCTTACAACTGTTCACTCTCATTTCCAATAGTTGTGGGTCAGTTTCCAATAGTTGTGGATCAGGCCTGCTGCACAGAGAAAATTGGCTTACCATGCCAACCACTGTCAATGGACATACACCTACTCACTTTTGACTGAGAAGACTAGTCTTCAGACCACAGTAAAAGATTCCACTGAATATTTCAGCTTCTTATGATACAGAAACCTTAAACATCTTGCAAGATGCTACATGACACTGTGTTATATAATATCACTTGCCCAGATAATATGCAACATCTTAAATTTAACGTGGCCCACATATGGCTCATTAAATTGCACATAAAGCAAATCAGCAATGGTTGCTCCTAATTATTTGCCAAATGAATTGTGCAGGAAGGATTTCAGTGTTGTCAGCAGTTTTGAATGCAGAGAAAGCTCAGGACTAAAAATAGGAAGTTTCCAAAGATACAGGATGTGTGGCAAGCTAAGGTGAGCTGACATCTGAATAATCACTTGAGATAACTTTTTTTCTCATGACTGAGCTAAACATGATACTTTTCAAAGATGCGGGAAAATTCTGTCCTTTTCATTAAAAATAGCTCTCATGTAGGTATGAGGGAGGAATTTGATTCAATTCCTATTTGAAGGCAAATCTATCAAATTAGTACTTTCTGAAACAATATGACCGGAAATACAGGCATCCTTTGAAATTAGCACCTGAAATTTGTGGTGTGGTTCTCCAACCAAACATTTATTTATTTTTACAAAAAAATACCTGTATCGGGGGTCCACAATTAATGGTCAGCTCTCCCCTCAGCAGTCCCTTCTCAAAAGAAAAATTGGTCACAATGATCCAGGTTGCTGGTTGTACCCTTATTGAGCAGCCAAAGTGGGAGAAGACAGATTCAGTGGGAAGGTTGGCTTTGGAGAAGATCACAAACCTGCCCTGCATGGGCTTAGAGCCAATAGTTTATCAAGTATGATGCCTTGATCCAACTTGCCTTATACAGTATGCTTTTAAATATGCCCATCCCTGTAGGTAGAGAACAAAAGATGTGTCCTCCTTAACCATGATTGAGCATGCAGCTCACATATAAATCATGGGTGAGGAGACTGACCTGGTATGTTTTACAGGCATCTAGGTGGCATGAATGAATGAATGAATGAATGAATGAATTAGACACAGCTCTGGTTCAGCAGCAGCATAGGCTGGCAGGGAGGGAGCAGGGTTGTTGTCACCCACAGAAATTCCATCTCTAGCCCCATGAGACACATGCATTCAGGAACCAAATTTGAAGGACTAAACCTGGTGATGGATCAAAGAGTTAAGACAGAAATGATGCAGGTGTTCTACCCAGTAAGATGGCATGGAAGTTACTGGAGTAATGTTGGCGAACTGTAATTTTAGTTTACTGAGGAGCTTCAACGTTCACACAGGGTTTATCTCATGTATTTCTATTTCCTGTGCAGTCAGACCTATGCTAGGTGACGCATCATCCATATGATCATCTCTCCCAGGCTTGTTCTGGGGTTTTTTTCCAGAAATAGCTACATTGGAGTTGGAGAAGAGAGACCATGATGTACAAAATGGGAAGGTGAGCCCTTTCCTACCTCACACCATTCTTCCACAAAAAAATCACCTCCTCCAATGCTGAGGTTAGCCCCTGATCGTGATATTATGGCAAAGTACACTTTGGGGAGAAATAGCAATGAGAGGAATATTTCAGCCACTTTTGTCTCATTTCTCTCCCACTCAATATGGGGCAGGATGTGCATAGTAGGATCTAGATACTTTGTGCATGATCTCAACCTAAGGCAGCATAATATTGAAACCCTTTCTTAAGAGCTAAAATTCCACACTATCAGCCATTCCCTATAACTCTTTTCAGGCTGAGGGTCAAATTCCCTTCTGATCTACCTTCTGGAGCCCACATGCCTCCATGGTGGGCAGGGGAAGAAGGAAAAGCATACTGATTTCTACACACACACACACACACACACACACACACACACACCTCTGTATACTTCAACCAGGCAAGTCAGAATCATTATCAGTGGCCAACGGCACAGTCATGCAAAAACTATCAAGAATGGTGCAAAGCAAGGAGATGAGGTATACTGGGCGCAGCATCACCCCTTGCTTCTCCTTTCTGAGAATCAACCAAAAGGCATGATTCTAGCTTATTTTTCTATTTTTACAGGGCCCATACACACTGGGAGAAAAACAATGGCTGTTATTTTCTCAGTCTTACCAAACACTGTAAAAGGAGTATAATTATAAGAATGGAGCTGAAAGTAAATTTTGTGCAAAATCCTGTCCAACAGAACCTGCAGCATGTGTTTGAGGGCCACTCTTATCTACTCAAGGAATAGGCCATTGCTATTAGCACAAAAGGGAGTCTAAAACTTTAACTTATTACAGCTTTCAAGGTGTTTATTATAGCAGCACCTGTGTAGCTACACAAGACCAATGGGTCTGTCAACCTTTCCAAAAGCAACCCCCTATTTACAAGTGTGCTACAATTAAGCTGTAAAAATGGCTTTAGGCTGAAATTTGGCAAGCAGGGATCACAGCTGGGAAACTGTGCTACTAAAGTCATTTATTGGCTTCATTTAGGGCAGTGGCTTGCAAAGTGGAATAAAACAAAGACTTATAATTTTTCCCAAGTGTTTGTTTGTTTTTGTTTGTTTTTACTCTCTGAGGGTATGTGAGAGAGAGAGAGACAGAGAGAGAGCGCACTTTATAGAAGTACTAAGGCCAGCATTTTTATCTTCCCATCTTTCTACATTGTCATTTTGGGAGCAAAACTGCAGGAAAAAAGTGAGCAGCCTTGAACACAATGGTGCCTCTGCCCTGGAAAGATGCAGCACATTTCAAAACAGTCATAACAGTTCTCCCACACTTTGCAAACCATCAGATACATGGAGATCAGTGGTTCCCAGACTTTTATGGGGCCACTGCCACTTTAGTTCCATAAATTCATTCCTAGTGCCTACTGCAATCCCTAGGGTCACAACAACAAAATTCTTCAAAACAAAATCAAACATAAAATCAAACAGGATGCTAAAACAGCTATGCTCTTCAGATGACTACCCAAGCTTCCCTGTCCTTTCTCAATACAGGCACCATTCCTCTAAATAACCACACCAAAAAGACCAGGAGAGAAAGGAGTTGTTTTTTAACTGGATGAGTCTGAACTTGCTCCAAAGTTCAGACTGCATGCTTGAAACTATAATCTGTATTTTTGCACCCAAGAGTATTCTACTTGTGTTCTCCTTGCTGCTGCATGGAATAACACATGAACCAGACCTTTAGCTTTAGTAAGTACAGCTTTTAAATTTACTTAATAATGTGTGGTCTGTTCATTGCTAGAGGGGTGGGGGGGCAAGAGCTCTCCCCTGCGGCGGCGGCGTAACGGGGGCGGCTATCTCTGCTTGAACATATGTTCTCCAGAGCCGGCCCATCCCCCCCACACACACACTGGATAACCCTGATGCTCCCTAGGTCCCCGGCTGGGGACTGGGGAGGGAGAACGCCCAATGCCTGAGCCAAGGTCTACCCACATTTGAAATTTAATAAAGTTGTGGCCAATTTAATCCCATAGCACATTGTCTTGAGTTGTTATTCCACATGACAGGGGGGACCGCTCGGGATCTGGGGACTCTGCCTGTCCACGCAATAGACCCACACGTGGGTCAGATCTATTTTCCACCTCCACATGTCTTCTGTAGGTTTATCATCCAAAACACAGGAATTCAGTGATATATTATGTGGTTGTCATGAATGACCTCTTTTTTAAAAAAATAGTTTATTTATTTTTAAAGGCATGGCTTTTCATTGCAAATAAGAAAACCCAAATTTTCACAGAATCTGACAAATTTTCTCAGAATCTGGAGAAGTGGATATTAAAGTTTGGGATACCATACCTACAGTAAAAACAAATACAGAAAGTGTTCATCCACACTTCTGAGAGGAAAGCACGAATTGCCATTTGCTGCAACTGAGTGCTAAATATCAGTTTTCCCCAGGGGAAAGCAGTGGAACAAGAGGAATTATGGATGATCCCCAAGTCAGAGAGGGGAGGCAGCTGGATAACCTTATGTGAAAAAATGGAGCATTTTTATAATTTGTAGGTGCAATAAGGCACAAGTTAATGTCCATCAACATTCATTGTTGGGAACTTCATGAAATGTATATGCTTCATTTGAGTATTTAATAGATGTTTAATGATATTTGCATACTTGTATATCTGTCTGTCAGTTTTATGTATATTGGATCAACTGTAAACAACTTACCTGTGTAAACAAATCAATTAATTTAAAAAGGGGTAAGGGGAAAAAGGAATCTAACTAGGGTTGAACTGAACAGAAGGTGTATTCAGTACCACACAAAGGCTAGTCCAAAATAAAAATCAACTTGAGAGAGAATAAAGTTATCGTATCCTTTCTTAGTGTCGGCGAAGTTGGCGATTTAACTCCCAGAGCAACTCAAAAGCGGAGCAGAAAAGCATTTCGAGATAAGAGGACAGAACCTAATGGATATTTTCAGTAAGCCTAAAAGCTATGTTACCACTACAGTACAAAGATAATGGCTTCTACCTCTACAATTCCTTGCAATGATTGTTTTGCCAATATACAGTATAAAAGAAACAAAGGCTAATAATTGCTTGTCAGCATTGACGAAGCATGACAGGCATCAGAAACGGGAAGGGGAAATGCCATTTCACAGCTCTTTTCTATAGTAACAGGCTGAAAATACAGTGCATATTGTATACCAATGAAATCAGCTCAGGATTGAGCAGGAAAGGGCATCTGAAGGTCAAGTTAAACAAGCTGTTTACATCTCTCTACTTAAAATACATTCAAGGATTTGAATTGTTGAGATAATATACAGTTGCATAGAAAAAGACGTTATAAATCACACAATAGATAGAGCTATTTGCTATGTGACAGGTTAGGTCTAATTAGGTATAAAAATACACCAAAGCTGGATATCTAATTCAGGGAGAGAATGTGTACCACAGAAGCTTCCACTGCATAAAGGAAGAGCAGGTTAATTATTGTAAATGGAATGTAGCTCATACCCAGAGCCACAATGTGCAAGGCAGGCTTGCATATAAGCACCAGACAAGATCTCTCTGTGCAAAAGGAGCGCCATTTGAATAATGAAGCATAATTTAGTTGAGAGATTTTTTCAGCTTCAAAATGCTGTGAGCATCCTCCCTCCACCCGCCTTGCTCCATTTGCCTCTATCCTTTCCTTTCCCTCTCATGACTGGATTAGACATGATGTCAGGAGCAGAGGAATCTCTCTGCTGCCCTGGACTCTCCCTAGGCCCAACCCTCTTACCAGCTTTGCTTTGAATCGTCCTCATGTGCTTTTGCCTGGCTGGAATCAGTGCTTGGCTGCCTCTCGTTTTTCTGGCTGGTGGGTGGAGAATGGATGGTAGGTGGAGGGGGTGTCAAAATAGCTGGCTGGAACCCAGCCAACTGTGCAGAGGGAAGCGTTTACATCCATTGCTCCAACCACTTTCCTCCTAGCCCTACCTACCATTGGCATGCGGCCTCCAGAAGGGCTGTCCATGAGGGAAAGTGGCCCCTGAGCTGAAAAGGGTTCTCTGTCCCTGCATTAAACTAAGTACTCTACAGAATAAGACCTAAGCTGTGTCAGAGCCCTTGCCATGACCTAATTAACTGGAATTTCCGGGTGAATAATATTTGCACATGCCTTGCTCCCTGGGGAGGATTTCTTTAGCATCCATGTGGCTTATAAGATGATGACTGTTCACATATCAGAAAACAGGAAAGCAAAGGTATGGGTGTTTTCAGAATACTGATCATCAGATGAAGAGAAGGAACAGAATACTCTCTGACCACCTTAAGAACACAATAAGGTTGGATGTGGTAGGTGTGTAGGGAAGCTAGTAATGGAGATAGTTTAAGCGGCAATCCTATAGTCCCCTGCCTGGAAATAAGGACAATGGAATTTAATTCTGAACAGACAAGAGCTTCAGATGTCTGCTGTATAACAGAAGGAAGGGCACTCTGCAGGACAGAGACAAGAGCAAAAAATGCAGTTACTGGCAGTCACTGCCCTATGATATTCTACAGGGTGAAATGCCATAAGTAGAATTTCTCCAGATGATCTCACTGATCTTATGGGTCTACAGAGGGACAGCCAGTCTTTCAGGTAACCTTGTCCCAAGTTATGAGCTTTAGGAACATGACAAACAGATGAATGTCTGAAGGATCAGTTTCTCGTCATTTTTTTGGTAGCAGTGTTGAATAACAAGTTACCCAAAAGCAACTCATGAACTTTGATATGGAAGATAAACATAAAAAATCTGTACTTTAAAAAACCAAACCTGTATCTCACCCAGAAACTATCTTCACTTTTCTAGTTGTTCATTGCCTTCATGTAGTAAAGCCTTCTGAGTTACTACCCGTTTCAAAAAGAAAAAAGAAAAACATTGCAGAAGTATAATATACCAGAAGCTCAAATTCAATGTTCTACTTTCTCATCTATTTGTAGTAAGTTCAGGGCATGACCAGCCTTCCCCAGTCTGGTGGCCTTCATATGTTTTGGGCTACAACTCATCCTCAGCCAGAATGGCCAAGGATTGGGGATGGTGGGAGTTTTAGGCCCCAACCATCTGGTGGGCACCTAGTTGGCAAAGGGTAGTCTTTATAGTAAGCCAGGCACGTCCAACTCCCAAGAAACTGCGATCTACTCACAGTATAAAAAGACCAGCTGTGATCTATCCATTGTCATTGCCAGTAGTTGCTGAGCTTTTTTTAGGGAAGTCTTGACCAAAGTTGTTGAGCTTTCTTTCTTTTTTTTACTACAAAAATGAAACACAAAGGCGATCACTATCTTGATACCACAATCGATCCAATACACCCCCGCGATCGATGAGTCAAGCAAGATCGACCTGTTGGACATGCCTGTAGTAAGCCATGTCTGAAAGGTTGAAAATAATTATATACTTTAAAAAACAGCACTAAAGCCTTCAAAGTTGTGTGTCTGTAAAAACAACAACAATAACCTGGTATTACAATGAAGGTGTGGGATAGAATGCAAGGCAATTTCAATATAACGAAATGAGATGGGGTGAGGAAAGATTCTCATTGCTTTAATTAGCTGGAGCTAAATTCAGGCACCTTTGCTGCAGAAAACTATTTCAGCGGCGAGAAGGAAGATGGTAAAATATCTCCCTGGTAAGAGTAAGCTTGCTGGAGGGATGGTTTTGCTTAGTAATAAATCCAGGAATGCAAAGCAAAACAGGGCCTCTTCAAGCTCACAAGAAGCTTGATATCTAAATTCCAGTGCAAAGCAGGCTGCAGCTAATCAGCTTTCCTGCCCTGATAGGTGTGCTGCTGCAGACCATGGAATTGCTCCGGAGAGGTCCACAAATTCATGCATGGCTCATGGGAATGGTAATAAGACACCAAAGCTTCCACCTCTAGGTCACCAGCTTGAATGCATCTCAGGGAAACATGAAGCAATTTTTATAATCATCATCATAAAGAAACAGTGCAGAGTTTCTTGAACTTTCTTAACTCATCATTGCATTAAAGCATTGCAAACGTAATCTTTTAACCAGGTGACTGTTCGGGGAGCCATTAAAATGAGCTGCGAGGTTGTCAGTTTTGTTTGCTTTATTCCCTTGAGCGTGTCTTGCCTGTTGCAGAATCAACCACAGTATATTATTTCTAATAGACTCGGCGCAGATGCAGAAACACCGCGTCTCAAAATGTGTGTATGGGCAATTGCACCTGCACACTGGATTGATTTCTGATATTACACTTGTGTAGCAATCAATGTGCCTCATTGTACCCAAGGATTCAACGGTGCAGTACAGCACATGCAGTTCATACGGCAATACATTGCCAGTCCCCAGTGTTCTGTCCTCTTGTTACACTTTATCACTGTTGTTGGTAGAACAGTGATAAGAAATTGGGAACTTTGGCTTCAGAAAAAGGCGACATGAGGGGACTTGCCAGGCAAGAAGCTACTATGTTAGGCTCTAACTCCCCTCCAAGCCTGGCCTGGGATATTTGAGAATGGCAAAAATGAGGAGGATTCAACCCTAGAGGGGAAAGACCTGGGGCTAGTGGGAAAAGGGATGGAGTGGCCATTCATGTACAGTGGTATCTTGGGTTACAGACGCTTCAGGTTACAGACTCCACTAACTCAGAAATAGTACCTCAGGTTAAGAACTTTGCTTCAGGGTAAGAACAGAAATTGTGCGGCGGTGGCGCTGTGGCAGTGGGAGGCCCCATTAGCTAAAGCGGTGCTTCAGGTTAAGAATAGTTTCAGGTTAAGAATGGACCTCCGGAACGAAATAAGTTCTTAACCCGAGGTACCACCATACATACATACATATATAAATTAGTATCTGCAAATGCTAGGCAAATTGTGTCTTCTTTTGTCTGCCTATCCTTTTTCAGTTTTGTGTGTGTGTGATGCATAAGTCACCATACTAAATACAGATGGTGGAGGCAAAGGATGCAACATAGCGTAAAAGGATGGGTCCATTTCTCCACTCCCAGCTCCCTAGAGGACCTATGGAATGTCATGAACAATGACACATTTCCAACTATGAAGAAATACTAAAAGGTTAGAAAATGTGGCAATGCTCTTATAATTGTATACCCACATGAACATGGTGAACTATACTACAACCACACACTTAAGCCACTAGAATTATAAATAACTATAGGAGATACATTAATGGAGCACCATGCATTATGACACATGGACAAATTTAATTTTGCCCTATCTATAACTTCCTCTCCTTCCCATCAATCATGGTCGTGTTTCCAGGTTTTAAAAAAATTATACCATGAACGTTAAGTGTTCAGTTAAGATTATTATATATTACTTTCCTTGCACATAAATACAGAGGCCATGATCTTGCCAGTGGCTATTGATTCTTTTTCCATTCCTTTCAACCTCCAACGCACCCTTGCAACCTGTAAACAAATCAGAGGCTGTGCAGGTTCTTATCCCAGAAGACCCACTGCAAACACAATTATGTTGGCTGTATTTTAGACCAATCTAACTTAAAAGAAGGAAGTTGTGAATAACTGTAAGTATAGGAAACACGGGGATAAAAAAAGTGAGGAGGTAAGGCTTGAAAAGGAGAACAGTTTTGGAATAAGTGAAAATGAAGTATGGAGTAGCGTAGCTGGAGACTAATCTCTTCCTTCCAGTCCCTGGATTCTTAGATTGGTTTGGAACAAGCTAAACTACTTTCCACCCAAATTAGGAAATTTGGCTCAGAATAAACTGATCTGAGTTAAATCAGACCTGCATCTCAATTGCTTATTTAGCAGGGCAGCAACAGTCGCAGAGAAACAATTTAGATTGTTGGGATACAGTAACTGACCCATCCCCTCTTCTGCTTTGATCAAAACCTCTCTCTCTCTCTCTCTCTCTCTCACACACACACACACACACACACACACACACACCACTGCTTTTAAGTAAGAATAGAAACATTGAGATAACTGCAGTATAAACTAAAGGAGCCGTGATTACAGATTTTCCATGACTGTGGTTGTGGTAACTTCAGTATTAATGAACGCATCCCATATAGATGTGATATTTTGTATCTGGCAGTCCTGACATTGCTGTTTTCTAACTTTATCAAGGCTAAACACCATTTCGATTTTAAAATGAGAAACATTCTGGTTCAGTTCTTGTTTGACTGATTGTTATTAATTAGATTTCTTACCTTCCCTTTACCATAAGGTCCCCGGTCAAGTTACAACAACATATAAATATATTATTAAGACCAGTTAAAACAATGTATGTGCATATGATTCTTCTGTTGCACTTGAAAATAGAACTTCTCAAGTCCATCATTCCCAAGTAAAGTACTCATATAAAGGAGATGCAACTTAAGGACAATTTAGGCTCTGCATAACTCGTTTTAAAACATTTAAAACCACAAGAGGAAAAGGAACTGAATCTAGTCAATGATTGATTTGAAGGGGGAGGGTCTCCACTGCAAAACTGACATTGATGTATCATTTAATCTAACAGCACAACAACAAATCTTAAGGCAATCAATTTAAATGGTATTAATAGCACTATACAAATTATTCAGCTTCTGCCTTAATTTAGGAGGTTGGCTTCATATTTCTCCTGCAAATTTATCAAATAATTACTACTGCCTCCAGTGAGGGGTTTAACGGTTTCTCCATTGTCCCTTTCATGCACCAACATGTACATGTTGAAGGAGGTGAATTATTATCTCCCCAGTATTTATCTGCACTTGCCAATCTAAGATGCAACTCTGTGCCTTTCTTGTGTAAACTACTTCTGTTTTGGCATCTCTGAGCAACTGGCAACCAGCATCACTCAGATCCATTGCATCTTAATCCAACTGGAGCTCTGCTCTGTTTGTATCATCTCCTTTGATCTACTAAGTCAAGAATGAGCAAAGGTCAAAACCTCCCCATTCTAGGGCCAGCCTTTGTTCATCTACAACATGCATTCTTATGCAAGTTGGACACATCTCAGCCTTTATGGAAATCATTCATATAAAGATGGGATATTTCCCCCCCTCTTGATTTTACTGACAATTGGATCCAAGGCCTGATCACTTTCCAGTATATTCAATTGAGTGTGAAAGGGGGAAAGGAAATGGTGCTTCAATAAATTCCTCAGAAAGCAGTCACTTTGGGAGCAAGCTCACAGAGGTTGAAGTGTCTCAAAAATAGGAACATTTTTCAAACCATTGTAGTGCTGACGCCACTGGGGAAACCCAGCCAGATGGACAGGGTATAAATAATAACATCATCATCATCTCCCATTACAGCTCTTAACATTTTTCTTAGTTCGTTCCCCCCACTCTAGAGGAACTTGTTGGAAACAAGGTGAGCTAAAGGAAGTTCACCAGTCACTACTGATAACGGCATGCTACATGACCACAGCAAGCATGTGCACTAAAGCAAATGGCACAGTAAGATTCAGGTAGGTAGCTGTGTTGGTCTGATGCAGTCAAAATATATATAAAAATAAATAAAATGTCCAGTAACACCTTAGAGACAAACTAAGTTTGTTCTTGGTATAAGCTTTCGTGTGCATGTTGCATTAGCCTGCTGCTTACACACCCTATATTTAAAACACATTTGAAGCACATTATTTCCCCCCCAAAAAACATTGGGAACTGTAGTTATTTTGGGGTTTCTGAAAATTGTAGCTCTTCGAAAGGTAAACTGCAATTCCCGGGATTATTTGGGGGGCGGGGAATAATGCACTTTGAATGTGCTTTACCTGTGTGGTACATCCGCAGCATTGCAGTCAATGCAAACCGTACCCCGACGGCTATTCTGCCTACTAGAGGTAGTGTTTAAAAATCTTTTCTTACCATTGTGCTAATGAGCTTACTATCCATTCACCATGAATTTTTAGTGAGGTTTCTTCATTAAAGAATCAGCAACATTACAAAACATCAGTGCAGAGCTATTTGTTTGCAGCGCCGCTGTCATCAACCACCGAGAAGGCTTTTTGTTTGTTTGTTGCATTTTGTTTTCTTTTGCAGTATAGGGAGGAAATTAGCCACATCCCTGAACTGCGCTAAACCTTGTCAATAAACAACATTACAAGACACAAAATCATTACATCTGCTAGCCTCATTGCACATGCAATGAGAAAGGCCTGTGCTATAATCTAGCTTAGATACCGAGGAGTGAGGAGGGAGGCATACGTTTCTGAAGAGGGAAAGGAGGGAGACAAGACATTTGTGATGCTTATCAAGAAGCACAGCCTCACTCTTATATAAGAGAAATCTGATGCAATTTCCTAAAATCCTTATTATATATCAAGGACAAAGAGAAGTTAACTGGTGCCCAAGCTGGATCAAAATTGTGCTGGCGCCTTCTTGCCTGCTCGAGTGTCTTAAACCGACCATGCATCATAAGTAAATTGTCCACTTTAATCAAATTCCACCTGAATCTATGGTAGGGAGACTTGCAGGAGATGTGCAATATGTTGAAAAATGGAAATATCTGAAGTTCTAATCAGATCACTTTAAATGGAAAAGTAGTGATCACTAAAACCAAATGAAATTAGGCTGCAGTAAATAGGAGGTAGATTATTAGATAAAGTCAGGGTGATCACAGGGAAAAAATATATTAGTACACTGAAAATGCCATTTGTTCAGAAGAAAATTCCTTCCTTTATTTCTAACCTTGCTAGATTTGGAATTTTATTTTGAAAGACCTATTTATCCATTCAGTTTTTCTCTGAAATATAGAGGGAGAATTAATATGATATATAGGGTGTATTCTATGATTTCACTGACCTTATTAACCTTACATTTTTATACATCTTTAACAATGGGATCCAAGCTGTAGGGCCTTGGCATTTCTTCTTGCAATGAAAGGTGGTATCTAAATTATTTTTATAACCATTTTTGTTGTTTAGTCGTCTAGTCCTGTCCGACTCTTTGTGACCCCACGGACCAGAGCACGCCAGGCACTCCTGTCTTCCACTGCCTCCCGCAGCTTGGTCAAACTCATGCTGGTAGCTTTGAGAACACTGCCCAACCATCTCGTCCTCTGTCGTCCCCTTCTCCTTGTGCCCTCCATCTTTCCCAACATCAGGGTCTTTTCCAGGGAGTCTTCTCTTCTCATGAGGTGGCCAAAGTATTGGAGCCTCAGCTTCACGATCTGTCCTTCCAGTGAGCACTCAGGGCTGATTTCCTTCAGAATGGATAGGTTTGATCTTCTTGCAGTCCATGGGACTCTCAAGAGTCTCCTCCAGCACCATAATTCAAAAACACCATAGAAGCTAACAATAGTTGGTCTAAGGTTGGTGTGTTTTCTACATTTCAGCTTCTTACATTCTCATTGATAAAAATCTTCTCTTACAACACCTGAAGCACAATGTGAGCCTGGAAGATTCAAGGGTCAAAGCCTGAGGCAGAAGCAAAAATAAGTCAGAATATTCTACTAAATTCTATAGCAGACAAGATCTGGAACACAAATGGTACATCTATCACACATCCTATCCATATGAGCTCAATACCAATTCAATACCATTGCTGGTAGGCCAAATCAGTTGAAGATAGAGCCAAAGTTTTAACCCGAGGTACTTCATTATTAGAGTCTCAGCTATTGGCCATTGTGGTATTCAACATACATGGAGATCCAGAGATGTGACTAATGAGCCTCAAACAGAGTTGAAATTTTCACATGCATTCGATATCTTACAAAATTATGGTACTAATGTTCTCTTTTTAAAATTTAATTGTTAGCAAGTGTCTGATTGGCCTGAAATTAGCTGAACTGTAGAAGTTCACATTATCACATGAGGGGCCAGGAGACATGACATGGCCTCTGCAACAGAACTAAATGCACATTCCTGCAACCCTAGTCGATCCATGTTCCCTCTTAGCATGACTGCACCTTAGGAGAGCTTAGGTGTTCCCAGTGAAGTCAGTTACTTCTTCCACAGGTATCTTGCTGCTTAAATCTAAGGTTCAAACAACAGTAACAACAACAACATATATGTGTGCCTGGAAAATGGGGGAGAGGGAATCTGTGGCACTCCAAATGTTACTGCTACTACAACATTACTCCCTGATTGCTGGCTGTGTTGGGTGGGGCTGACGGGAGATGGAATTTAGCAGTATCAGGAAGGCTATAGGCTTTCCATTCTAGCTGTAGAAGAATTCCATCATGATACTAAAGGAGCTGCAATGCAAATGGATCCTGACTAAATCCAAACGCACAGATTTTCTGCAGAAATCAACTGTTTGGGGTTGGGAAACTGGAATTAAAAATTGAATTCCTCATCCAGGACAGCTGTTTACTGTCCTGTCGGACAGTATTAGTATTAGTATTATGCAGGAAGGAACATTAGGTCCCTGTTGGCAGTTTATACCAGGAAAGATAAGTATACTACCAAAATTCAGAGATAGGATATGCTTAACTGGTACTTTTAACCCCCTACATTAGAATTAACTGGATAGGCCCTTTGGATTACAGTTGCCAAGTAACTTTTTAGAATGGCACCAAAAAGTTCTAAAATGTTTGAACATTTGGTGTTTTAAACCCCCTAAGGTTGAAACATTGATTTTTACCAGATGTTACTTAAAATATTGTTGAAAAGCATTTGCAGTGAGCCAAGCATGGATCAATTGAAGAGAACATCACCGACCTGTGAGTTTGCTAGCAGCTCAGATTTGATACGAAGGGGATCAATAGAACTGCTTAAATCAATATAGCCTTTCTGAATGGGGCTGTTGACTCAGCAAAATTTAAATAAAGTTTCTACTTTTTTGCTAAAAAAAAAAAAGCCCTAACTGATTAACACACTGCATAATTTTTTTCTAGATAAACACAGTCAATTCCCAACTAAAACACATGCTCAAAAAACCAAGTGATTAAATGCAGGCATAGGATATAAATGACATTTGTTGCAACAGGTGGAAATCAAGCTAAGATGTGCCATGTGGGGCAATCCTAATCTAAAAACAGATTATGAGTATTATGAATGTTTCCATGTCCTCTAATGAAACACTATATGAGTACCCAGAAAACAATACCTTTCTTAAAAGAAAAAGGGAAAGAAACCCTTTCTGGTAAAATGCACTACCGTTGCAAGAACACCAAGAACTACCCTCCTGTAGTACGCTTGTCACTTGACCTAGGAAGAGCCTTCTGGATCAGACCAGTGACCAGTCTAGCCCAGCATCCTGTTCTCATTGTGGCCAGTCATCTGGCTTATGGGAAGCCCACAAGCAGGACCCAAGTGCTCTCCCCACCTCGGCTTCTGGTAACTGGTATTCAGAAGCATGCTTAGAAGGGTTGGTGGAAGGTACAGGGAGTTTTCCCAAACTGCAGTGACCCCCACTGTTGCTCCTACTTCCCAGTCAATGCACTAAGTAAGTGGAATAGGGGAGTGTTTGTGAGGCTGGTATGAATGACTTTGGTGGGGCATGGGAGGGTGGGTGAAGCTGAATTGCCTTACCCAATCTGATTGGCTTCAGATGCCCACTCGCCCACCCCAGTTTTGATGAGGGCAAGCAGGGGAAATGTCAATTTAATCCAAGGAGGACCTGGGCAGACTTGCTCCTTCCATCAATGCGGTTTTTCATTTGCCCCCGTTTCCCCCAGGGAAACCCGTTCTTTAACTCTGAACCAGAGCAAATGCCAGTCCACAGAAAACCTCGGTGACGTTTGCTCCGATTCAGTGGTAAAGAGCAAGGTGGCAGAATAAGTGGCAGTGTGGATGAGCTCTTAGTCAATGGAGCAGCGATGATCAATGAGATATCCCTGGTCCAGAAAAGAAACAGCCCATGAGCTCACAGGTTTCATTTCAGAATAGGAACTGGTGCTGAGGTTTGATCCAAGGAGAAAGAATCCCTAACTAAAGGTGAGATGTATCTTTATTCTAGTTATGTGCTTTAGTTACCTCACTGGACTTTTTAATGACATGGTACAATGATGCTTTTGAATTATGGTGCTGGAGGAGACTCTTGAGAGTCCCATGGACTGCAAGAAGATCAAGCCTATCCATTCTGAAAGAAATCAGCCCTGAGTGCTCACTGGAAGGACAGATCATGAAGCTGAGGCTCCAATACTTTGGCCACCTCATGAGAAGAGAAGACTCCCTGGAAAAGACCCTGATGTTGGGAAAGATGGAGGGCAGAAGGAGAAGGGGACAACAGAGGACGAGATGGTTGGACAGTGTTCTCGAAGCTACCAGCATGAGTTTGACCAAACTGCGGGAGGCAGTGGAAGACAGGAGTGCCTGGTGTGCTCTGGTCCATGGGGTCACGAAGAGTCGGACACGACTAAACAACTAAACAACAACACAAGAGGAAGTGGGAGGGAAGACAGAGGAGTTTCAGCAAAATGTCTCGAGTTGGTTGTGCAATCCCTCATGGCTATTTGAAAAAGGATCTGCATTACTGAGAGGGGAGAGAAGAAGGGCCTATCGAGTTCTTCAACAGTGCTGGATACATTTTCCACCCACATTTACACCCACTATTTATCGTTTATTTAACCCCACAGGAGCAATACAGGGCAGATCTATATTACTGTACTCTGAAGTGCACTTGAAATTCTTGAAGTTTAAGAGCAAGGCAGGTTATTATTTTATTTTTCTGTAAGATTTTAGTTGCTGAACTGGGAAAAGGCAGCAGCAATGTGTAAGTGTGTGTGTTTTAAAAGCAGGTTTTGGACATCTCTGTTGGATACTGATCAGAGCTCTGTGTGGGATTTTGGTCAGGCTGCTCTCCCTGCCACCCCCACCCCCCCACTGGCCCACTCCTGAAATCTCTCAATAGATGTATGTATGCATGTCTCCTTATAAATAGTTTCCATTTAACTTTGTGTCAGTGAAGCTTTTAGTGGCTTACCAGTCTGTTCCTGAATTGACTTATGTAACATGAAGCAAAAGATGACATGGGGAAATGTTGTTTGAAATGCTTATATAACAATTAGTGTGGGGGAAAGCCAATCATAAGGAAAATGCCTAGCCATTAAAAAGTTTGGCAAGGTTACTAAAGCACATAACAAGGTCCAAAAATGTTTTGCATTGAGAATCAGATGTTATATTGTTAAAGAAAATGCTTTTGCACTGACTTTGTGTTGCAACATGTTGAAATTTCCCCTAGCTGCTTCTCAACAAACCTCCTCTGAAGGGTAGAAGAGTCACTGCCTAATTAATCATTTCTTCCCCCTGCACTTCCTATAAAGATTTGCAGAAAGCCATGTCCAGAAATCCATGTGCCTGCATTCTCACATGCGAATTGTACTCCTCAGAGTGCCAAATATTTTATGCTTATCCTCTTCTGGAACAACTCCAGTGTTGTGTGACTTCCCCAACCAGTAATAGCTAACTAATTATTACACCCTGAACTTTTCAAATGCAAAACTTTTTTCTCTTCTTTTTTGCAATTAACCTTTAGTGGAAATAAATGGATGTGCACTCACATAACGGTTACATTTGATGGATCTGGCTCCTGTGGAATGTTTTGCAGAATAGCTGCTAATTCTCTGAAGCAGTCATTTTTATTATTATTATTATTATTATTATTATTATTATTATTATTATTATTATTATTACTTTGCACTTTGTTCTCTAGGCAATGGAAATAGTCTTTGTGTGGCTTGGTTTTCTTCAGAAGTTGGGGGACTGGTGGAGAAACAGAAGAACATAAGAAAGGCCTGATCCAGCAGGCTCTCACAGCAGCCATGCGGGTGCGCTGGGGAAACTCATAAGCAGAACCTTAGTGCGACTACAGTCTCCTATGCATTGTTCGCCTAAGACAATTTGCCAGAACATGAAGAATGCCCCAGCAGCACTGGCTGTACAACATTCACCAGGATTTAGGGGTACACTAAATATCAACAGCTTTACTGACTCTCACAAACACTCTGCTGAAATAATAATTTAATTTAATTTAAAATTTAATTTAATTTAATTTAATTTAATTTAATTTATTCATTCACTCCTACCCTGCCCATCTGGTAAAACACGATAAAACTTCAAACATTAAAAACTTCCCTACACAGGGCTGCCTTCAGATGTCTTCTAAAGTCAGATAGTTGTTTATTTCCTTGACATCTGATGGGAGGGCATTCCACAGGGTGGGCGCCACTACCGAGAAGGCCCTCTGCCTGGTTCCCTGTAACCTCACTTCTCACAGCGAGGGAACCACCAGAAGGCCCTTGGCATTGGACCTCAGTGTCCAGGCTGAACGATGGGGGTGGAGACGCTCTTTCAGGTATACTGGGCCGAGGTCGTTTAGGGCTTTAAAGGTCAGCACCAACACTTTGAATCTGAAACACTTTGAAAGCTATCACTTGTGTCCCTGGTTAACTCAGGTTGATCCTGTGAAGGGGCAGAACAATTAAGATAGGGATAGGGTGAGAGTACTGAGGTAGTAGAAGAAGAGTGAGGAAAACATGACCCTCTAGATCAGGGTGGTCCACCTTGCAAGAGTACTTCAACACAAAACCCGTGAGCCACACACTGAATTAACTTTCCATATCATAAATTAAAGTGTTTGCAACATAGTTAATATTATTTAATATATACAATTAATATATGTAATTGAATATATATAATTAAATTTTCTCTCTCTATATATAATTTAATATAATTAATATAATTAATTATATTTATATATATATATATATATATATATATATATATATATATAAACTACACACACACACACACACACAATTAATTTATTTAATATACTTATTACACAATACACAAACAGATTAGCAACGGAAACATTGAGTTCCTGTCAGGATAAAAAGGTGGGGTATGAATAAATACAACAACAACAACAACAACAACAACAACAACAACAACAACAACATGATTTTAGAAGGCTTTCAGTCAAAAGGATGGAAGCCTCTTGTGCAGACAGCCCATGAGGGAGAAGTGTCAGTCAAGGAACTTGGAGACAAGGAGTTCAATTCCTCTGTCAGCCATGAAGCTCACTGGGGGACTTTGTGCCAGTCACTCTCTCTCTCAGCCTAACCTACCTCACAGGCTTACTTACTTCTGAGTAGACATGGTTAAAATTGTAGCCATTAGCCACTTTGTAAACTTTAGGTGCCACAACATTTTGTTGTTTTTGCTGTAAAAGACTACAAGGGCTACATCTCTGGAAATTACTTTGAAAGGGAACACACAGAGAAGGGAACTATCTGTAGATATCTGTTGATGGCTGATACATATGTGAGATTACAGGCTATGATATATGTACCAGAACCTTATATTTCTGCATCAGTGGACAAAGAAATGGAAGACATAGTTCTGCAAAATACACCATTTGTAGTGGAATGGAAAATCCCAGATGAAAGTGTGAATGACTGGCAGAATGGATTGAAGCAGGTCCATACCTCTCTAATTCCATGCCCCACTATTGGGGTCACACCCACCATTTCCACAGTGACAAAGGCACCCATTCCTGCTTGCCACCATACATAAAAGCTTGTTGCTATGTAACATGTCTGAACAATCCACACAAGTGGAAATTCCAGGTGCTCAGTCATGGCAAATACTAAATCCCCAGAGGGAATTTTCATTTTTTTAATTCCACTTTCCTAACCCCAAACAGTAGGTTTCTAAGGAAAATTCACCTCCCCTTTAGAATTTTAGCTGGTTCCATTTGCTCTTCCATTCCTTCAGTAAACTCAGTGATTTGCATCAATCAAAGGCTCAGATGTTCTTGTGTATACACATTTCACTCAGAGTTACATTGCATCTAGGCTTTGCAATCCTACAGCCACTTAAACAGATACTTTTGCACAGGTGTGTTTTCCTTCTAGGCCAAAACTGGATCAAATACCTATGTTTTTTAAGTAATTCACATTCAAAATTCAACATAGTTTTGTTTTTTTAAAACTTATTCAACTTACATCCTACCGTTTCCCCTGAAAGAGCCTAAAACAGTTAAAAGTATTATCACAACCAGTGATTTCAAGGGTGTACATTTCAACCATCAAATGCCTAGCTAAACAAGTCAGTAATGAGGAAGACAGACACATCTCACCAGGAAGGGCAATCCACAAGCAAGGGGCCACCAGTGGAAAGTTCCTGTTATGGGTCAACACCAACCAGGCCTCGCCTGCCAATTGTAGGGTGTGAGGTGGTTGATATTGGGGAAGGAGCTCTTTTAAGTAATTGCGTACCAAGCCATTTAGGGCTTTATAATATGGTATGAACACCTTGGGGACGCAGGTGATGCTGTGGGTTAAACCACAGAGCCTAGGACTTGCCAATCAGAAGGTCGCGGTTCGAATCCCCATGACAGGGTGAGCTCCTGTTGCTCGGTCCCTGCTCCTGCCCACCTAGCAGTTTGAAAGCACGTCAAAGTGCAAGTAGATAAATAGGTACTGCTCCTACAGGAAGGTAAACGGTGTTTCCGTGCACTGCTCTGGTTTGCCAGAAGCGGCTTAGTCATGCTGGCCACATGACCCGGAAGCTGTACACCAGCTCCCTTGGCCAATAAAGCAAGATGAGCGCCGCAACCCCAGAGTCGGCCATGACTGGACCTAATGGTCAGGGGTCCCTTTACCTTTATGAACACCTTGAATTGGGACTAATCATTGACAGCTAGTGCAACATCAGACTGCCCTAGCCTAGGAGATGCATTCTGCACTAGAAGTAAGCTTTGGACCATCTTCATGGGAAGCCCCACATACAGCCATCCAAATGAAAGGATACCAGAGCATGAACAAATGAGGCCAGGCTATCCCGATCCAGGAATGACCATAAGTGGCAAATCAGCATGGGCACTCCTAACCACTAAGGACAAGTTGGAACAAAGGAGTACTTGCAGACTACTAACCTATTCCTTTAGGCCAAAAGGCCTTAGTTATGGCTGTAAGTGCTGCTCTTGCAGAGAAGAGTTCTGCCATGAAGTAGGCATCTATATCCTGATAGGAGTTCACATTATGCCCATATAAAAGCCACCCACACCTCCCATTCTGGCCACAATAAGCCGGCAGGGCATAGGAAGTGGCAATAGCTCCACCATGGATTCTGTTATCCATCACCATCATAGCTTGGACAAGCTATGTGTGGTTCACACCAATTTTTTAAGAGAGTCCATAATATCATATTTTAAATATAAAAATATTTGCCCAAATCCACAATCTATTTCTGAGCAAAGCATTCCAACAACTGGCTTAGTGAAAGTTGAACCAATTGTAGTTTGCATTTATGGTTTATTATAGTCTTATGAGGACTTAAATGTTATCACCCCTTCTTAGCTAGAGGCATTACATGCACATCCCCATGTGGCTTCTTTTTACAAACTCAAGCTGGGACTGTGTGCATGGCACTTTTCCAGAAAGGTTAACATCCTTTTGATCAGTCATTCAGCTGATGGGCTAGATACGAAGAGCCAATGTAACCATCTTATAAAAGAAAATTACATGAATTATTAGGGATCGTGCTTATGAAATACCTGGCACTGTACCAAAGATGGGTTAGTAATCCAAAAGGTGCCTGCCATTTGAAAATTTAAAAAAGCAAGAGTCCTGCATGCCCATAAACACTACTCCTTGCATTCAATTAAAACCTAGAATTTGTGGACAGGTTTCATATTTTATATACTCCTACCATAGAGATGCAAGTGGCTCTTGATTTTTTTGATCACACTGCTTGATATTTCTGTGTTAATATTTTGCTTAACATTGCAATGGATATTTATTGCACTTTGCTATACTCATTTTTGGTTGTTATTTTATTAGTGTAATGTTTGGTTGTTATTTTATTAGTGTAATGTTATCGCAAGCAGTATATAACTTATACAAACAAACCAACAAGCTAAAGTCCTGTTACTCACCTATCCTTTCCAAACCTCTTGGCTTAGGAGGGACAGAAGCAAGACTAGCCTTCACAATGATGCAACACAGAGAGAGACACACACACATACTTTTAAGTCATGAGGGACTCTGAACCCTCAACCCTCTTCAGTTAGTTTGAATTGCTCCAATGTATCAGTACACCCCACCTTAGGTAGGATTCCAAAGGAATCAATACTGTTCAAGTAGCCTAACAGTACTATTTGAGGGGGACTGCCTACTATCTCAAACAGTGAAAGCCAACAAGGTACCTGCCAAATGTTGCTGGACTCATAGAATCATAGAATCATAGAGTTGGAAGAGACCACAAGGGCCATCGAGTCCAACCCCCTGCCAAGCAGGAAACACCATCAGAGCACTCCTGACATATGATTGTCAAGCCTCTGCTTAAAGACCTCCAAAGAAGGAGACTCCACCACACTCCTTGGCAGCAAATTCCACTGTCGAACAGCTCTTACTGTCAGGAAGTTCTTCCTAATGTTTAGGTGGAATCTTCTTTCTTGTAGTTTGGATCCATTGCTCCGTGTCCGCTTCTCTGGAGCAGCAGAAAACAACCTTTCTCCCTCCTCTATGTGACCTTTTATATATTTGAACATGGCTATCATATCACCCCTTAACCTCCTCTTCTCCAGGCTAAACATGCCCAGCTCCCTTAGCAGTTCCTCATAAGGCATCGTTTCCAGGCCTTTGACCATTTTGGTTGCCCTCCTCTGGACACGTTCCAGTTTGTCAGTGTCCTTCTTGAACTGTGGTGCCCAGAACTGGACACAGTACTCCAGGTGAGGTCTGACCAGAGCAGAATACAGTGGCACTATTACTTCCCTTGATCTAGATGCTATACTCCTATTGATGCAGCCCAGAATTGCATTGGCTTTTTTAGCTGCCGCGTCACACTGTTGGCTCATGTCAAGTTTGTGGTCAACCAAGACTCCTAGATCCTATTCACATGTACTGCTCTCAAGCCAGGTGTCCCCCATCTTGTATTTGTGCCTCTCATTTTTTTGCCCAAGTGCAATACTTTACATTTCTCCCTGTTAAAATTCATCTTGTTTGTTTTGGCCCAGTTCTCTAATCTGTCAAGGTCGTTTTGAAGTGTGATCCTGTCCTCTGGGGTGTTAGCCACCCCTCCATTTTCCATCATCCCTAACTATTGGTGAAGCTGGTGAAGCTCATAGGAGTTGTAGTCCAACAACATCAGGTTGACGTTCATGCATGTCATTCTCCTCAGTGTCCTAGCTATACATAGCATAGATATGTGAAAAGAATCCCTCCCTCCACAAACACATACGCAACACTGCTCACAAGGTCTATTTCTATAACCCATTTGGATATATTATACACTGTGAGTTAACCAAGAATTTAATTGCAAGCCAAAAGTTCATGGGCATTTTGTCAACTTTACATTCTGTCAAATATATTGCACATACAGAGGGGAAGGGGTGGAGAAGGGGAATGCAAGCTGTGTATTTTTGTGGCAAGGGGGGGAGGGGAAGTGAATATAAATAAGAAGAACTTTTAAAATGTCAGTCAAGATTGGCCTGAATTCCAGAGATACGGAGCACCTGCAGATTCCACCAGCTTCGGCGGGTGTTTACATTTTTTGCAAGTCAGGCCACTTGGGCATAATATTAGCAGGTTATTTTCTCTCGCTTGGCAGCCGTGGCAGCTTCATCCTCTCTTATTATTCAAACCTCGGGAATTGTTTGCTTCCTTTGGTAATGAGACACTGTCCCCAATTCATAAGTGCATGATATATTCTTATTTCAGGAATGTGACAGAACATGAGAGATGCTGTCACTCTGTGCAATCTTCCCCAACCTTCCTGACCTACTGCAAAGAGGCAAAACAAAGGAAGGAAATGGATTGTTTTATGATTTGTTAGCAAGGGTGAAAAGAGCTAGTGCCGCAATCTGCAGATTTTATTTTTTTTTAACCACAGATACTCACTGGCAAGTGAGTATATTTGCAATATACTAAGGCTGCAGCTATAAAAGCAATTATTCCAGAGTCAGATTGCTCCAGAATATGTTATCTGAGGTTTTCCCAGAGCAATTATTCCAGAGTCAGATGGCTTCAGAATATGTGATTTGAGGTTTGTTTGTTTTTTGTCAAAATGTGGCATTGGCTCACAGTTCAGTGACCTCTTTAAGTGGAATGCAAAAAATCCTCCATGTTGAAATTCATGGATCTTGTGTAGGCCTAATGATGTGAAAGTCACACCAAAAACTGAGACCAGAGAAACTGTGATGCCTAATCCAATACCAGCTTAAATATTCAAGTCACAAATGATGTAAAGTTTGAATAGGGATGGGAAAATCTGTCTATTTCAGTTTCTCATTTTTCCAGTCTTTAAGTTCAGTTCTCCATGTTTCCAAATTAGTTTGTGATTTTTTTTAAAGTCCTCATGAAACTCCATCAGAATTGTAGTGCAAATTTCTCCTCACATGTACATTTTGGTATAATTTTTGTCATGTACCTAGACGGACAAAGAGAGTGCATCATAATGCACCTTTGTATGTCATTTTTATTGATAGGCATTTATATGTACACTTCACCCCAATATATGCATTTTTGTACACATTGCAAGGCTGGAAAACTATATATTGCAAAATTCAGAAAAGTGTGAATTTTGAAGGATGAATGCATTTTGGTTTACACATTATTTCTGAAAGTGTGAATTCTATCATTTTGCATTTAGATGCAAACTGAATCAAATCTCTCCCCCATCCCTAGTTTTGAAATACACATTGCATGTATCTTTATTGCCTACCACATACCGTATTTTTCGCTCTGTAAGACGCACCAGACCACAAGACGCACCTAGTTTTTGGAGGAGGAAAACAAGAAAAAAAATATTCTGAATCTCAGAAGGCAGAACAGCAAGAGGGATTGCTGCACAGTGAAAGCAGCAATCCCTCTTGCTGTTCTGGCTTCTGGGATAGCTGTGCAGCCTGCATTTGCTCCATAAGACGCACACACATTTCCCCTTACTTTTTAGGAGGGAAAAAGTGAGTCTTATAGAGCAAAAAATACGGTAGTTACATATTCAAAATGGTATGCACATTCCCCCTACCTCCAAAGAATCCTGGGAACTATAGTTTATTCCTCACAGAATGACAATCCCTAGCAGCCTTAACAAACTACAGCTCCCAGGAGTCTTGGGGGTGGGAGCAAGTGTTCTTTTAAATGTTTGGTGAGTATGCAGCCCGGATTGATAGCAAAACCTTATGAAACAGTTTCTTAACCCTTTCCTTCCCAGCCATTTGCTTGCTCAAAATCACTCCCATTGCCCGTGTGTGTGTGTGTGTGTGTGTGTGTATACCCAACATAGGGAGATGAGCTATACATTTCTTCTTAACTGAAGAATGTCGTGCTTGAATATGGGAAATCCTAGTTCAAATCCCCAAACCTCTAGTGCTCCTCCAGGCTGAAGAGTGATATTCTGCTCTCCTGTGAAGCTCACTAGCAGCCTTGATCAAATCACTAGTTTTTCTTCCTGCCTGCTGTAAGCATGAAGGGCAGGATGCATGTAAGACAAATGAATTCTTCACACAGGATTCAGCAAAGAGTTGTGAAGCCTCTTCTGCTGAGAAGTACTCTTGTAGATGCACTGTTGTAGAGCAGGAATGGAGAACCTTCGAACCTTCAGGTGTTATGGGACTCCAACTCCCATCAGCCCCAGCTACCATGGCCAATGGTCAGAGATGAAGGGAGTTGTAGTCTAATGACAGCTGGAGGGCCCCAGGTACCCCACCCCTGCTCTACGTGCCATTTACATGCATGGATCTGTAGAAAAAGTAATCATTGTGAGGAAGGGGCGATAAACAAAGCTACAAAAGAGTTAAATGACTTACCATGAACACTATGGCAAAGACAGTTTGAGGGACAGACTAGACTGATAGGGTTGTGTCTGTACCTCTTATTCCACAAACAGAGAAAACAGATCCCTATCCACAATCTAAATTATGACAATTAGTAGAAACAGAAGTATAAATAAGAAGCTGATAATATGTATGAAATGGTGGCATAAGATGCCTGAATGAAGTCTGATGAAAATTTTTGCATGTCAGCTGTTGAGAATTTCTTGCAAAGAGAATATACTATGTCGGGACTCTGCATAATCCTAGTTTTGCCCCACTTACAAGAATATTGGGCTTGGCAAGGACAGTTCTGTGCGAATTTCTGCAAGGGGAAAACAGGATGTCCTGAAATGACTGGATTTCTGCAAGAGGAAAATAGAAATGAGTTTATTCTGTCCAAGGGGGCTAGCAGGAACAGAGAGCCATTCCTATGACGGGACAAGCAATGATCTAAAAATAAGCCAGCTAGTCAATCTGCTATGTCTCCCAGTTCCCAGCTTTGTAAACATGTGCCCTATTACGCTGTTTATGTGGACTTCCAGGTTTTCAACTAGGACAGCTGCAAATGGGAATGGCACCTTCTTCGGCACCCTGGGATATTTATTTATCTCACTCATCTTTGGGATTCAGTGTCATGGTTTTGTTATTTACACACAGCACCTTCTGAGATGGTAAATAAGATTTTGTTCCCCTCCTGTGTAAACAGTATACAGCCTGCAGATCTTCACAGATAAACAGCTGCATAGACGCTAATGGATATGTTTTGCAGAGTTGTAGGGTCATAAATCTAGGGCTCCTTGGCCCAGCCCTCTCTCCCACCCCGCAAAATAAAGGTCAAAATGTGCCCTGTAGGCTTAAAGAACAGCTTGTAAACTTCATTGCAACATGGCAGATAGATCGCTAAATAGCGCACGCAAGAGCAAAGTAAATTATTTCTGGGAAATGTACTAATGGTCAGACTGCAAGCTCCTGTCCTTTGGAAGAGTGAAAAACGCAGAGGAGGATTCCACAGGGACGGAATTCAGTGTAGAGCATAAGGAATGATGTGGAGTGATGGAAAGTTTGTCGTCTTCTTTTTTCATCGGGAGTTATTTTAAATGAGATTATAAATAGAAGCTCTTACCTTACAATAGCTTTGACAAATCCTCACTTCTCCAGGAGTTCAGCTGCACTGTGTGCATTCTCACGCTCTTCCTTTAAATGACCGTACTTGGGTAGTGCAAGTAGGCATCAAATTTCAAAGATAAGGGACAATTATGGAACAATAGGGCACTGCTCTGAAGAGGACAAGGCAGCTAAAGTATTCTGAAATGCAGGATGTCCACTGAAACAACAAAGCAAAACAGAATGCCTGGCTAGGCAATTCTCCAACATGATCTAAAACCTTTGGCTTGGCTCAGCTTTTTATGGGTGAAAGGCCATTTTTTAAAGAGACAGCTTCTGTTTTGAAATTTACATGTTGTGTGCAAAGCCTTATTTGTTCCTAAGCAGACATTTCAGAAACATGACAAGAAGGCTTCAGTGTAAGGCTCTGGAAAAGAGGAGGGGAACCTGTGGTCCTCCAGTGTTGCTGAACTACAATTCCCATCAGCCCCAGCAAGCATGGCCCATGGCTGAGGATGATGGGAATTGTAGTTCAGCAACTTCTAAAGGCCCACAGGTTTCCCACACCTGTTCTAGAATAATATTTATCAAGTTTTGAGTGGTGGCATTGCCAGCACTCTTTTTTCCCCATCAGTCAACTTATGGTGTTGGGGGGAGGAGAAAAACTTACCAGCATTCCTGCAGTCTCCCTTCTTCTGATAGACACCATTTTTGTTTTCTCAGAATGCTTCCATATTTATCTGCATATAGACTAGGGATAGGGAACATATGTCCAGATTTCAGTTATCTGGAATGATGCAAGCTAGAGTCCCACAACATCTGGAGGGTCCCAGATACCCAAATCCTGGTGTAGATTGATAGAAATTAGATTAATATCTGAACCAATCCTTAGATCAGCATTGCCCAACTTGATATCCTATGGATGCTCTAGACTATAGCTCCCATTATCCCCGATCATTATCACTGCTGACCAGAGCAGATGGGCATTGAAGTTCAAAACAACTGCAGGGTTGGAGAAGGATGCCTTAAAGTAAGTGAGATGGTAACTGTATTATTTGGCTACATATTTCAGGCAGAACCTGTAAGGAAGATGTGCTAATTTTTAATGAAACATCAGTTTGATTCATGATATTGCAATAGGGTTCTTTGGTTATATTACTCCAAGTGGCTTGGTTTCTCCTCCTCCTCCTCCTGACCCCTCTACTAGGCTTTTAAAATGGCAGGCTGTCCTGTGCAAGAGAAGTATCTATTGAGCCTAAAAAACAATGTCCTCTGTTATCATTATGGCTGTTTGGAAAATCTCATGGAGAAGAATTACCCTGTGTAACCAGAGCACTGTCCCTCCCACACTGTCAGCTCAGCATTTGTTCCTATTTGAGGGAAAGAGGGAGGGAGGGTTCTTTGCTGGCTGAATGCACGGAGAGAGATGATACTACTTAGCACTGAGGTGTTAAAAGTCGCTTTGTGGATGGGAGATGAATTGGACTGAATCATGGTCACAGCACAGCAGGAGAGAGTAAGAAGAAAGTCATTGAATTGCATCTCCCCCACTCCTCCAAGCAGGGTCTCTTTAAACCAAAGCAGCAAAAAAGGGGCAAAGGCCAGCACTGTATTCTGCATTGGTTTCTGTTAGTTTCACTAATTATTTATTTGAATTCCATTTTCTTTCAAGCACACATTATGATTGGGCAAAAGCAAGCATGTTATGCAGCTAACAAACTTTCCTCCCAGCCCTTAATAGCACAAATTCCTGAAGCTGGTTTTCAGTGCTCCCAATACAATGCTTGATCAGGAAGAACAATTAGGGGTTATCTGTGAAGGACATCAAGGGCAAGAAGAGAAACAAAAGAGAGCAAAGCCATTACAGGGTTTCTTATGGTCTCCACCTGTTCCATGCCATCTTCCACAACTAACTTGCTGTCGTGGTTATTTTATCTGCCTCTCACACTGCTAGGTTCCCTGACTATCAGACATCTAACATACATTCCACAGGAGGCCTAGGCAACCACAGCAAATTAGTTATCCAGATGACTACTTAGGCCCTACAGTTTGATTTATCAAAGTCACCTCGGGCTAGTTTCATAATCACAACTATGTGAAAATAAGGTATTCATGCTTAATTCAGCTAATATGACAATAACACACCATAGCATGACAAACCCTCCAAGTTTCCTTTTTCCAGGGACAGCTCCAGATTTACAGAAACCATCCCAGTCTCTGATTTGATCCTAGAATACCCCACTTTTCCTTAACACGTCCCTATTTTCATCGGAGAAATGTTGGAAGGTATGGAGTTATCCAACCACCGAGCCATCTGAAGGCAGCCCTGTCTATGGAAGCTTTTTAATGTTTAATGTTTTATTATGTTGTTATATGTTTAAAGCTGCCCCGAGTAGCTGGGGCAACCCAGTCAGATGGGTGGGGTATAATAATAATAATAATAATAATAATAATAATAATAATAATAAATATTATTATTAAATAAAGGTAAAGGTAAAGGGACCCCTGACCGTTAGGTCCAGTCGTGACCGACTCTGGGGTCGGGGTGCTCATCTCGCTTTACTGGCCGAGGGAGCCAGCGTACAGCTTCCAGGTCATGTGGCCAGCATGGCAAACCAGAGCAGCACACGGAAATGCTGTTTACCTTCCCACCGGAGTAGTACCTATTTATCTACTTGCACTGCGTGCTTTCGAACTGCTAGGTTGGCAGGAGCAGGGGCCGAGCAACGGGAGCTCACCCCATTGCGGGGATTCAAACCGCCGACCTTCTGATCGGCAAGCCCTAGGCTCTGTGGTTTAACCCACAGCACCAGCCACGTCCCTTTTATTATTATTAAATAGGATGTCCCTATTTTCATTGGAGAAATGTTGCGGGGCATGGCATGATGAAGACATACATTCCAACCTGGTCATCTGAATGTATGCAATGAGGCTACTTAATGGCAAAGTGTCACACATCAGAAACAGAACTAAGAGACTTATGTTACAGAAGAGCAGATAAACATTAGGTAAGAACTATTGATGGTAAGAGCAGTTGGACAATGGAACCAGTTATTTATATAGGCTGTGGACTTTTTCTCACTGGGAGTCTTCAGGCCAGAGACCATCTGTTGATGCTCCAGCTCCTTCACTCAGGCATGAGGTTGAACTAAGTGGCTTTCAGGGTCTTCCTCATCTCTTACGATTTTCTCAATCATGACCCAATCACCAATGTAGGAGAAATAAAAACAGTTGAGAAATATTCCTGTCATTTGGCTGTCAGTCTCAATACCTTTTAGCTCTCATTTGCATATTAACCTGGTTCAACGGTCTAGGATCGTGAATTGCAGCCTAGAGCCATTTTACATTTTGATTTGAATGAGAGTCAAATATGCCCCATACTGATCAGTCAACTAATGTTAATTTAGGTGTGAAAGTTAAGCTCCCATCAGGCTTTGACATGTTTCAGCCGCAGTTTACTGTACTGACAAAAACAATTGGCGAGACTGATTCTCAAAACCACAGGGTCACATTCTGATAAACTAGGAGCTAGGTGGATGTATCAGCCACCACCTTATGAAGATGTCACATTACAACAAAGAATGGGGGCATTTTGGTGGTGCCAGGGGGGAAGTGACATACAAATCAGAGATGTATCCAAACTGTTTTTGGTGTCTGCCTCTATCAGCACACTCATGTCACACAGCAGGTGCTGCCACAGAGGAGACCACTTGTTCCTTTTTCAGCCATAATACTGCTGATAGCAGACTTCTCAACAGACTGCCATCAGCAGGCTCAGGACAGATATGTCAAAGCTCTTGTTCATGGGCCAGAGACCCATCAGAGCCCTTTTGACATCTTTTTGTGCAACCTCAAAAGTAGCAGGCAGTGAAGTACATGCAAAGGCACTGCCCCATGGGATTCCTCGGCCTTCCCCGGGGTGGGCTGGCCCTAATGATTAGCTTTCTAGCAATGCTCTGAACAGATACCTAGCTTTTGAAGAGAAATTATACACGCAGAATCTGTTTGCTTGCATGGTTCCGCATCCAAGCAGACATCTACATAAACAAGCCTGCCTCTGCTAGCACTAGGGCAAGGATCCTTGAAACTTATTATCTACGCCATGTTGGGGTGGGCAGGGTCAATGCAAGCCACTAAATGGGGAAATTCACTGTTTTTGGAGGGAGGTAAGCACCAATTTTGGAGACACTTCAATCTAGCAGTGCTGGTGGGATTCTTCATGATACTGACATTTAAAGCCCTAAATGACTTGGCCCAAATATCTGAAGGCATGCCACATCATCCCATGTTAAGATCTTCAGGGGAAGCCTTTTGGCAGCCCCACTTTCCTCTTTGGTTAGAGGGGTAGCGGTGTGTGAGATCACCTTTTCTGTTGTGGCAGCCAGGTTGCAGGAATATATCTTCCAACATACATCTTGCACCATCTTTGTCTGCTTTCAAGACGCAGCTCTTTCCCCAGGGGATTGGTTGAGTGACTGCTCTCCCTCCTCCCACACTGCTGTGCATTGCTGCACTTCGTTGCGACTGTCATGCCAACATTATCATTGGTCAATCTTATGGTTTTGTTTTAAGGTTAATGTAAATTGCACATGCTTTCATTGCGACATTTTTGTAACTGCCCTGGGATCATTTGGTTGAAGCAAGGGCTATAAGCAGAAATAATTAATTAATAATAGGAAATGGGTCAAATCTGGACAGATCTAGCAATAATGATTGCTTGGATGCTCCTTCCTTCCCCTGCCATTTTCACCTGGCTTGCTTCATTCTCTAGCCCCTGGCCCTTTTCCTGGCTATGTGGCACTCATTTTATCAGCTGGACAGAGCCATCTGCCAATCATTTTATTTTGGCTGACAGCCCACATAATTTTTTAATCCTCAATGCAAAACAAAAGTGTCATTCCTCAGAAACTCCCCACTCTTGCCAATAGGGAGTGGGGGGCATGGGTATTTTGCGGCATCTAGGCTTTAGAAAATATTGACTGTACAAAAGGAGCAATTATCAGCCATTACATTTTGGCCAGTTACCGTTTACGGAATCCCATTTTCTTTGTAGGATTATGCCATTATATCTATGAACCATTATCTGTATATAAAAGGAGACATTAGTAGCCATTACATTCTGGCAACATTCAAGCATGGAACGTGAAATCTCTCCTAGTAGCTCTTTTTAGAGTGCCTAAGAAGATTTCCTCTTATTACTATGCCTGATCTCCTTCTTAGATCTGGCTTACTGTACTGAGATGAATAGGAATTTTGACCAAAAAAAAAACAGGAATCCAGCATTCTTCAATGTTTTTAGAAAGTTCATTTTGATTGTATGGTGAATCTGTACTTGGAAACCTAAAATAGACTCCACACAAAAAGAACTTTGCAGCATACATTCAAAACACATTTATATATTTTAATATGCAGGAAAATATAGAGCTTTCTGACTTAGCTGAACTGCTCAGAAGGCCTTCCAGAACTGTAGCTAAGTATGCACTGTGGCCACTGTCTCTTCTGAGTTGAAAAATGTGCGTATTCATTAATGACTATTTTAAAGTCAAAAATTCCAAATACAATCACATGGATACAGTAATTGATCCAATAATAGAATAGATATCTAGTCATTCAAATTACACAACTTGCCCCAAACTTATAATATTAAAATTCAGTGACTGGGTACAATTTAAAAAGAAGAAGAAGAAGAAATGTATAAATGGTGTTTCATCAACAGGACACAGCATGGTGACACAATAAACAGTATAAAGTACATTTATCACAGGATATCCATAAAACAAAACAAATTAACAGTTATATAAATACATTTCATAATAGACAGCAATGCACAGTAATACATGATGCATAATAATATATCATAAGCAGAACTTAGTAAGCAGCAGTGTCAAATTGAATTCCCATCCCTAATATAGACAATATTGATTGCCACTAATATTCAATTCACAACATAGCACTGCATCACTTTATGTTTTAACTGTTTGAGATATATATTGGATGTGTATCTGAAAATGCAATCCAGAGTTAATATTCTGTTCTCTGGAGGGATCAGCTATGCTAACTGTGCAGTACAAACAATATGCCTTGATTTCTGTCCAAAGAAGCTTTTAAGTGTTACCTAATTGCATGGAAGTTAAAAGAACAATAAACAAAAGAGTCATGGACTTTCTGCACCTACCTATTCTACTAGCCTGGTTGCTTTTTTCAGATTTTTTGGCATGCTTCCACACAACATTCTCATTACTGAGCTGCTAGTCCAGAATAATGTACTACCCCCCCCCCCCAGTTTCTTCTACCACAAAAAAAAACAAATCTGTCATTCGCAGAAGATCTGTAATGGATCCTCAATATTTTCACCTATGGAAGGTCTATTGCTGTGCACATGCTAATAACTGACAGTTACTGACTCACTGGAGGAACCCAAGAGTGTATAATGAGTGTGACTACAAATGCTGAACTTTTCTCAGTTTGGGTCATCCCACCACTCTCAAAACCACACTCTCAAATCACAGCAGGAGAACACAGAAAATAAAAAAGAGCCTGCAGGATCAGGCAATGGCTCATCATCCATATTCTGATCCCAGTGTAACCAACCAGATCCCTGTGAGAAACCTGCAAGTAATGACTCGGGGGTCAGATACCCATACCTCCAACATTTCTCCAATGAAAATAGGGAAATCCTAAGAAATAGTGGGACATGCTGGGATCAAACCATAAACCGGGACATCATCTCTAAATCAGGGAAATAGGGACACTTGGAGGGTCTGTGTCAGATCAAAAAGGAACTATGCCAGTATAAAAGATAAGTGAATGCCCTCAATCACATGGTTCTTTCTCACCAGATTGAGACACTCTTCTCAGAAGGGGCCTGGTTCCATAGCTAGAAGCTCCTAACCACATGGTTGGGTCATTTAACATTGATCAAGAGTAAAGGAATGTAGCCCAAGAACTGGCTGGTTCGTGGAAATTAGCTTACCTCTCTCCTTAGCCACAGCTCCCAATCCCCAAAATTCTCTTGCATATCTATCAGAACTGTTTGATGAAAACTGTTTTACATTTATATATGAAAGAGGGAGTCTAGTAGGTCCCCAAGTGAAGGGCATTCCAAAGTTTTGGTGCAACCACCAAGAACACCCCCTTCTATTCTTGTGTTCGCATCCTTAGTCACTCAAACTAAATGCACATTTTCCTGAAAAATTATGGTGCATAATTCTAACATTCTAACTTTCATACTGCATTACCCATTGTGTTATAGAACAGTGGCTGCCACCATGCCACACTAAATTTTAAATGTCGGGAAAGAACTGCATGCCAGAATACCACCCCAAATTTCGCCACATGAAATTACAATGCAGCAATTTTCCAGGATTAATGGGGCTGCAAACAGATTTCTTATGGAGTAACAAAAAAACCCAGAATGGAACTTCACCCAGATTCCACTAGTTTTCCCGAAATGTTTTGCACATTGTGTGAAAGATTGCATAAGATATGGAAATTATCAGATAAGAAAACAGGAATATGGTATAAAGCGCTGTCTGAATGTAGTTTATGTTTTTACTGCAAGAAGTGAAAGTGAGATGGGGGTGTGGAGTTTGCCAAATATGCCAGGGATTTGGAGGTGAAAGACTTGTTTTTCTCAGGAATTTCTCTCCTGAGAAATTTTGGCTCACTTTATGTTAATTGAACTATATTCTCAGTTGCTGGTGATGAAATCAATGGACTAAGAGAAGAGAACCATAAGAAGCATGGGGCCAAGCCCATTGCACCATTCAATTATATTACAATAATATTAAACAATATTAAAAACTGGACGCATAGTTGCACTCAAAATTCATGGACTGAGAAAAATGGGAGAGCCTTTTCACCAAATATTCCCCAGAGGGAGGACTGAAGTTTTTCAACAAATGTGTCAGAAGATTCTTCTCAGATAAATTTTGGCTCAGCCTTAAAATGAAGGCCTTGGATTTTCCCTTCCTTCTCCACCCTCCACCTCACATTACATTGACAGAGGCTTGGAGAAACATTGGCTCTCAGCTCCTGATTGTTGAGTGTGAACCCCAACCCATCAAAGGGCAAGCAGCCTTCTGCTGACCTCATTCTTTTCTGGATCCCAGCCAAAGTGCACAACTTTCATTGGCAACGTTAGGAATTTTACATTTGTCAAGACAGCAAGATAAATACATAAAACCAAAGAAATGATCAGGGGAACAGATTCCTGGAACCTCTTAAAAATGAAATCTTAATGTAATAAAGTTTTAAAAGAGTAAGAGCAATCCCAAAACTGAGACGCAGGAAGCTGAAGGGGTAACCTGGGAATTGGTTGCAGAATGCATAAAATCTAAGCCTGTGTTTTGAAGGGGGTGGGAAGAATATTGATCATCATCTCAAAGCCTTGAGAGAGTAATTGCAGAGCAACACTGAAATCTGTCCACTTGGAAAAATATGGGCGTTTCATATATAAAAACACTCAAACCATATGTTTTTTATATACTACATGTGGCATGTGTGTGGACTGTAATTAAAGAGAACAACTCTGTCAATATATGATCTCACATAAATTTAATCTATAAACCATATGCTACTTATACACGAACGCTGTATATATTTCTTAAAGCTTGCTGGGTAAGTGGAAAAAGCGAGGGGCTGGGAGGAATGTGCGGAGGTAAGAAAAAAGGAATTTGAGGCTAAGGAGAAGGGGGAAGGAGTGCAGATGCTGGGTTTATGGAAGTCGTGAAAGCAAGTGTCACACTAGGTTTTACAAAAATTGTTGAATGTTTAAATAAGAAAGTTTAGGACACAGGCCTGGCCAGAATGGCTTTTCTGTTATATCTTCTGGGCTTGACAAAACATCTGACCCTCACGTGAGCCTATTCGAGCTGAGGAATTACACACCTCCTCCCTGAAGCGCCCCACCTGGGCTGTGGGGGTCCTTGCCTGCCTTCCCTCAAAACTAACAGCTGTAAATTCTGAAATACTGAGGTCAGGGGTGGTATGTCTATTTTGCCACTTGAGGGAAAACAGGAAGTGCCACCCTGCTCTGCCACACCACCACCACCCGTGGGACTCGTGGCACCGCAGCTGTACCATACCCGCCAACATTTCTCCAATGAAAATAAGGAAGGCCCGTTCCACAACGATAAGTTTACTATTTATACCCATACATCTTATTAGGTTGCCCCAGCACTCTGGGCAGATTCCAACATATATAAAAACATAATAAAACATTGAACTTTTTTTAAAAAAACAAACAACCCTTCCCTATACAAGATTGCCTTCAGACGGCTTGGGGGTCGGGTAACTTCATACCCCACAACAACCTATGGCACAAAAGGCTTAGACATGGAGACTTTGGGATTAAGGCAGACCTGCCAAAGAAAGGTGTGGTGAGAGGAATGGAAATTAAACCTTGTAAAGTTGACCTGAATAGTGAAATATGTGAAAGTTGTTCGTTGAGGAAAGGAACAAGACCTTCTATCCCCAAGCAAAGCCGGAAAAGTTCCCCAGAGCCTTTGCAACTTATTCATACTGATATATGTGGTCCAATTCAACCAATGTCTCATGGGAAAAACAACAAAATGGGAAAATAACCTTTCTGCTTGTATATGTTGATGAGTGCCAGATTTACGTATAAGCTGAACAAACTATAGTTTAGGGCCCCACTCTCTTGGGGGCAGCAAAAAAATTAAAAGGGGAAAAAACTGGATGTACATTTCCAAAATAGAAGATAAAAAACTAATAAAATAAAACCTACAGACAGCAACAGTGTTTTGTGTTGTGTAGGCTCCTATGATGTAAGTAATGGGCCCCACCTGCTAGCCTGCTCCCTAAAATGGTTTGCTCATTTTTAATATACTTCTTCTTAATTGTATTTCAGTTCAACAATTACTTTGATAAAATACATATTTTGTTATGCGCAAATGGCTTTAGATACCTATTAGGGCCATAAATTACCATACAGCATATATTCAACACAAAAAAACAGTGATAATTTGTTGCTGACAAAGGACAGCTGGACATATAAAGGGCCCCATTACCTTCAGTAGCTTAGGGCCTCATCAAACCCAAATCCAGCCCTGATGTTGATAACATAATTTTGGGTACTGAGATTATACAAAAATTGATGAATGTTTAAATAAGAAAGTTTTGAGAATTTATATGCTAGATTAAAATTGATTAATTCAAATAAGGCACATTGAGTAGGGGCCTGCATCCTGGCCAAGCCATAGCTCTCCTGACAGCTGATTTGATCTGGAGCCCCAATGTGGAAATAAAGGATGAGATTGCCCACCAGATACCAAGCACTCTACTATTCAAATACGGCCCCAGTGTTTTTCTTACAATCCCCTTCTCAATGTGCCTAATTTGAATCAATCAATTTTAATCTAGCATGTAAATGCTCAACACTTTCTTATTTAAACATTCAGACTAGAGGTACAAGGGGAGATGGAAGAACTGTGAATTGAAAAATAAAAGGGCTGAGAGCTGCCTATCCACTGGTTTCTGGATTTTGGAGGAAATTTATAATGAGAAATACAGAACTAGTATGTACTGGAAAAGTCATGGGAGAAAGTAAATAGCCATTAAATAGCCCACGCCTTAGCTCCTTTTTGCTTATAACCCAAGCACTACCATTTCATCTCAAATGCTAGTTATTCAAGAGGCATGCCTCACAGGAACCCTTGACTGGCAGCCAGTTCAGGATGAATGAAAATATGTATGCTTTCACCACAATCAATCATTGATTTACGGAAATTGCTTCCACAAGAAGTGGGGATGGACACTGGCATAGATGACATCTCAATTTTAAATGTAGGGCAACTATAAGGAGAACTGCTGCTGGCCAAGATGATTAACTAAAGCAGAAATGGCTAGCCTGTAGCTCTCCAGAGGTTGCTGGTCCCATAAGCACCAGCCAGCATGACCAATGGTCAGGGTTGAACAGCTCTTTGAGGGAGGCCAGCCACACCAATGAACTGACAATATCCAAGCAAATGAAGAAACATGCAAGTATTAACTTTGGCTTCCGCCGTTTGCATAGATTTTCTTCATGATAACCCTAATAAATCTATTTGCATTTTAAATCACTTCTGGCTTCATTATTGTTACAGGAATATCTCAATTCAGCGCTAGTGTTTCTGCAAAGGAAGGCAAAATTAGTAGCTGAGGACTCTGCTAAAATCTTCAGGCAATGCAGTAAAAAGTTTGGGCATATTCACTAGGTTTTGAGAATACCGGAGCAGGAACATATGTGATGTCAACCTGTGTGTATAGGCTGACGTGGTTGGATTCCTGGGGGAGGGAGAGGGTGCCTGGAGGATATATATACTGCATGAATTTCTTTGGACTTGCTGTGGACACACCATGCAGGTGCCTTTCTGCTGTTCCAGAGAGCAGAAATAAAGAACTCTTTCTCTGAACCCACCCTCGGTGTCATTTGACTTCCTTCCTCCTGTCCGGGAGCAACGCAGACCCAATCGGTGAACTCCAATAAGGATACATTTCCACTAGGTTTCGACAGCCTTGCCTCTGGATGTACATGCTTACTTCTTTGAACTAGTACAAGTGGGTAAAGTTGATGTGTGACATGTGGCCACACATTACTATAAATTACTATAAACAAATGAATTTTTTGTTTGAGTCATGCAAATATTAGATCATTTCTGCTCTTCACTTAAGTAATGGTAAATAATGTTTATGGCAACTATGTTGATTTGCAATTTCCTGACATCGTTGAGAAACTACGTTTGCATTCTAAGAAAGTAAGTTTGCCCATCTAGTGAATTGTCCTTCACGGTTATCAATGAATTTATCATCATTAAACACTATATAAACCACATACAATCTACAGAATACAATGCTTTTTCTGGGGGGACGCAGGGGGATGCATACTCCTAAACATTTTGTGAATCTAAGTTTGAGGGGCAGTATTTCAATATGAGTAGGAAAATGAGAGTACCCCTAAACATTTTAAATAGAAAAAAGCACTGATAGAATACATTTATTAAGTTTATGTTCCATATACTTAAATTTATTATGCTTTCCACTGAAAGCATGTGGAGGCAGATTCAGGAGGAGGGTCCCAAGACCTGGACCTTCCTGAAAGGTGACTGTCTTTAGAGTACAATGTACTGGGGTCTAAGAGCAAGAGAGAACTGTTCCCTTCATGCCCTGCTTGTTTTTCAAAGGCATCCAGCTGACCACTGATGGGAAAAAAATAGAATGCTGAATTAGATGGATTTTTGGTTCAATCAATCCAGCAGCACACATCTTGTACTCTTACGAGACATCCAAGGAGTTCAGATAAATTAGGCTGAGTTATAATTCACTCGCTCTAGAAATAACCCAATTTCTATGGACTTGTTATTTTCAAAGGCTCCAATTTGCACATCGAAATATTGAAGAAACAGGTGCAAAATTCTCACTGTGATGTGGCTGGGAAATATACGTGGCTTTTTTCAAATTAAAACAATTTGCTGTTGAACTTATAATTGCAAATCATCAGCAGTCAGATTATTGTGAGGCTGCTGCATAGTGTCTCTGTAAATGATCTCTGCATCATTGTACACAGCAGTGTAAGTTTAAGGGAAGAAGCAATTAGCTCATTGATTCAATGATCTTATTTTTCCCAGAATAGCTTGTTCACCTTTGGCTGAGCAGTTATGTCACATGATGTCAGGAAAATATTGTTAGCAGTTTCTTTTCAGCCTACTTAGAAACAAGTGTGTTCATTTAAAACTGTATCTCTGTAATATATTTTATGAGCCTGAACTTATTGGCACATCTCTAGTTTACATGGCACTCTGCCATATGAAATCAAATTACACTTTCAGGGAGAAGCCAGTATGTTTGTAGAACAATGTATAGCACAATGAAGAGTAAGCCAAAAAGAAAATGACCGCTGTCCCCCACCCTCAAGGAAATATCAGTATTATTTATATAAGGACAACGACGGAACCACAGCATTAAAATTCATTTTATGTGTATTTAAACACATACAATCCTCTCTTTTTTTCATCTCCAGTTTACACATATTGTGGATTTGCACTGGCATTCGTTCCCTCATTCCCCATGCTGTGGCTACAACTGACTCATTTAAATAAAAAATAAATCCCCAGAAGAAATAAGTAAGATGCCTGAGAAAGGCGAGGGGGGTACCAGGTTGGTAAAGCGGCCAGGGAGACTGGCCTATAAGGATTGGGACCAGTCTGACTCAACAAGCACTTGCTTCCTTATGAAGCTGCCCATGCAGCTACTGGAACCCTTCTGTGGATTCCCCCCATCTGCTGAGGGTGGTGGACAGGGTGGTATTTGGGGGAAAGTCCTTCTCAAGGGTAGCATTCCAGCTGTGAATATCTTTTTCACGGGCAGGGGCTCCTGAGGCGAAATGGGAAGAGCCGCTTTGTCTTGCTGCTCCTGCCCACATGCACCCTACCACATCCGCCACTGGGGGACTCATTGAGATAAACGGAGCATAACTCTGGATCCAACCCAATTGTTCTTAACCAACTTGAACACTTGTATAAAATCTACTGCTGCTTTTGTGTTTTAGCCTTTGCTGAGTTCATGTGATTTATTAGTTTGTGAGTAGAGATAGATAGATGATAGATAGATAGATAGATAGATGATAGATAGATGATAGATAGATAGATAGATGATAGATAGATAGATAGATAGATGATAGATAGATAGATAGATAGATGATAGATAGATAGATAGATGATAGATAGATAGATAGATAGATAGATAGATAGATAGATAGATGATAGATAGATAGATATAGATAGATAGATAGATAGATGATAGATAGATAGATAGATAGATAGATAGATAGATAGATAGATGATAGATAGATAGATGATAGATGATAGATAATATGTTGTTTTTCCATATCTCCTTGTAAGCCTCCTCAAACAAACCCAGTGAGGTCTGGTGTACATTTACGAAATAAAAAATAAATCAGCAAGGCAATGGCTAGCAAGAAAGCCATTTATCACAGCTAACTGCATGAAGGTTGGGATAGTAACGACTATGCAAATACGAAGAAGTAGAGTAGAACTATTCAAGGTGAGTTATTGATGGGAAATGGATTGTAGCACAGATCAGTATGCCAATGCTGTTATGATCAGGCACACACGTGCCCTTAGAAATGCCCTTCAGGAATAGTTGGGGCAGTGGGGGGGGGGGGAGTTAGCTATTTATAAGTATAAGAGCTCCATCATTCCTGCCTCAAAGGACAATTAAAGATTTACCTCAAGTATCGCAAGCTTGAAGTATACGGCCAGTTCAACAGCATTGAAGGAAGCAGGTAGAGTATAACATAAGATGAATGGATGATCAATAACGATATTGTACTGAGCATAAATTACATTCCTAACATTAAATATGTAAATTGGAATAATTAACATGCAATAAAATATTATGAATTTTGGCTGGGAGTTGAGACTGTGCTTTGATTAGAACAAAAGTATTGTACACTATGTAGGCAGGTAAATGAAAAGAAAAAGGCTGGTCTTCCCAGTGACACCTTCACATGTGAATTTACATTATAGCACAATTCCATGCATATTTCCTCTGAAGTAAGTCCTCTGCTATGTCCAGAGCTCAGTTGGGCATGCAGTGTCAGGGTAGAAGGGTAAGTGGAGTGTTATTTTACCTTTTTATTTTCTGGAGGTTTTTTTTAATAAAAAGATCTACAGTGGTACCTCAGGTTACATACACTTCAGGTTACACACTCCGCTAACCCAGAAATAGTGCTTCAGGTTAAGAACTTTGCTTCAGGATAAGAACAGAAATCGTGCTCCGGCGGTGCGGCGGCAGCAGGAGGCCCCATTAGCTAAAGTGGTGCTTCAGGTTAAGAACAGTTTCAGGTTAAGAACAGACCTCTGGAATGAATTAAGTACTTAACCTGAGGTACCACTGTATTGGAAACAATGGGAAAACAAATAGATACAAAAGCTCCAGGGCTTCCATATTCCACCTGCTTTGGGAGCCTGTCAGGATAGTGGGATGGCTATGGATATTTGGGTCCAGCTCTTACCCTGATCCACCTCCAGTATGCCCCCAATCTGCCCCTGTTGCACAGCCTTTTCCCATCTGCTGACATTAGAGTTCTTGTAATAGTGAGGCAAGGGGCAAATTGGTTTCTGCAGCGATATGGGGACAGCTCACAAGGCTGGATCGCTCTCTACAAGGTTGAATTTCTTTCTGCCTTTGAAAAGGGAGATCTGAAACATCCTTTGGCCCCTGGGATGCTATCCAGGGGCCATAGGATTGCTGCCTTAGTGGCGTAAGAAAAACAGAATATTGTGTGAGCTTTCAATATAATTTACAACATCTTCAGTGCCAAGCTTTTCGGTTACTAATCTTTAATCTTTTTAAAGAATAAAAGCTAGACACAATGTGTAATAGCTAAGGTTCTTTACAATTTTAATAATAGCTAGAACTGATCCTGGGTTGACTATTCAAATAAACAAATGGGGGGTTGGTATAGTGTATCTGCAAACAGCATGGCAACCCAACTGTTAGTGGCTTCATACAACTTTCATGATCAATCAAACATTTTATGTTGCTGTAATCTGGTTTTATTATTTGGGCTATTTTCCAATTTCGACCATTTAAAGAGCTACACAAATTATTTACATGCAACTAAAGCAGCAAAAAATAATTTAAAAAATACTGCTCTTTTTATGCTATCACCAAAATGAAATAGAAGCCTTAGTTGCATAAAGGGCATATCCATCAGTCATCAGCAAAAGAGAGCTTGCTAGTACTGGGCACTGTAGCGCTGCAATCACCAACACCATGAAATTTATTTATTTATTATAGCACCATTTATTTATTATAGCCTCTGGAGAGCTCAGAAGCAGAAAGGTATGCTGAAAATAATAGTTATGATAAGCCCACCAAGCCCCATCACCTTCAGCCAGCAGGGCCAGTGTTCAAGGATGCTGGGAGTTGTACAATAACTTTTGGAGTGCACCACATGGTCTATGCCTAGGGATGTAAGAAGGCATCATTTTCTTTTCCACCCTACATTTGTCAAATACAGCACTGTTTCCATTCTGCTGCAGTTCATTTTCTACCTTTCTGTCCACTGTTGTGAAAATATATAACTTTTCACAATACATGCAATTAATTATGTAAATTGCGTAACTAATATACTCATCCCATATGTGGTCCTCTCACATATTTACTTCTCATGCATTAAGGATGTTGAAGAGAGATACTACGGCTTCGATCCTAAGTTGTTCCTTGGTTTGTAGAAGAGGGGAGCAATTTCCAAAAGTTTCACAACCTCTGAAGCAATATTTTGGGAGCACCAGGGAGCATGGAAAAGTTGGTAAGCCATGTTCTGTGAACATGAATCCTGTTCTGTTCATGGAAGGTAAGTTGGGTTCCAAGCCTTTAGCATTTCCCCTTCTACTAACCTAGCCTTTAACAAGCTGGTGCCCTCCAGATGTTTGGACTACAATTCCCATCAGTTCCAGCCTGCACAGGCTATGGGAATTCCAATTCAAAACATCTGGAGGGCACCAGCTTGACAAAGGCTGTGCTAACCAATATCTATGTAGCACATTACTAGGGGAAGCGCTTGTGACTATCCTGAGAAATATTACTGGCAGTACTTCAGTGTTATCTAAAATTGATATTACTGAGATCATTAGTGGGAAGGCTTAGCCTTTGTAATGTGCACCAGTTTTCATTCAAATAAATGATTTATCATTCTTTCCCTCTCACCCTCAAATAAAACATATCTCTTTGCCGCTAGGGAAAAGGAACATGGCATTAGAAATTAATCCTGCGGTATCTCATCTGCCCTTTCCACCACCAACCCTCTCTGCTTCTTGAAAATTTGTAACTGCAGATAGACCTGGCTGGTATCCACCATGAGGTATGCCCTACGGCTGGCTTCCTTGGTTGCTGTATGCCTCAGCGTTACCTCAGTTTCAGAGATCACATCTGCAAAAGTCCACCAAACGGTTGCCATTGCGAGATACACTCAGGAAAGAAAATTGCAGGGTTCGGTATGTTTAGTCACTTGAGTGAGCTGATTGGCTGAACATTGCTAAGTGCCTATAATAAGTGCCCCTTTTTAAAATGTGAAAGGCCCATAATTGATGGGCTTTGTGGGTTGGAGCAGGCAATTAACACACACGCTCACACATATACAGTGAGTATGTACATACCCGGCTCTACAAGGAAACTTAATCTCATTTTAGTTCAATTGTTGAAGATTTCAACTTCAACGTTAAATTGTTTTCTTCTGTTATTTGTTAACAGAATTTGTAGGCAGACCTCCCACACATCACTGAGCATAATGCACTCCATATTGCACCATTATTCCTTTCGTAGTTAGGCAGGGATTTCATTATTAAGTTACATGAAGTTTCAGTGCATATGAAAGATGAACGAATAACTAGGTAGAACCACGTGAAATGTTTGCACACACTTACCTTTTCACTTCTGTGATATCCACATTAAGGCCCATTAGAAGAAGCTTCATCATGGCAAGTACATTTCTCTACTTTGTATCCTATCCCGCTGTTCTCAAGACCAGAACTGGGGATTGCAATTTGTTCCTGACAAGGGATACTTGGGGCATTTGACACTGCAGATTTCACATACACACTGGGAAAGAGGGGAGCACACCTGCAGTATGTCAACCCAATGATTCTGTGTTCCAGATTTCATGGAATCCTTGAACCGCTTCCCTCCATTTGTCGACACCAGGAAACAGGCTACTCAGCATGGTCCCACTTGTATGTTCTCCTTAACTTGCCAATATGCTGCCAGGCCATGTTCAACATTCTTGTGTTTATTCACAAAGCCCTAAATAACTTGGGTCCAAAGGAACTGATTTCTTATATTCCACCGACCACCGAGATATTTGCCCATCTCCCTGAGCTTCAGGCATCCTTTACCAGGAACGAAGCCTTTCATGTGGTAGGCTGTGCCCTGTAGAACTCCTTGCCAATTGAAGTCCAGCAAGAATCATCTTGCTTTCTTTGAGATGTCTTCAAAAAAACCCAAATCCTGTTCAGAGAAACTCCCAAAAAATGTTGAAGTATTTTCATGAGAATTTTTTTTTATTGCAAATTGCTGCAGAAATATGAAGCACTGAATTTAACATTGGAAAAATGAGAAACTGAATGAAACTGAAACGAACACATCCTTTCATCCCTACCAGTGAATAACCGTTATATTAACATCTCGGCCACGGAGACTGAAAATACTGGATATTATATGAAGTGCCATATGGAAGCTCCATCTTAATCCCTCTTCCAGGTAATTATGCAAAAGCATTGCTTTTGGAATTCTCAGCAGCTAATATGGCAGCAACCAGCATTTCTGAAAGGTGGAGAAAACTGAATTGCACAACTATGTTCACCTGGTCATTTCTCTCTCTCCTTTCTGTCAGTGTTCAGGTGATGACATACAAACATTCTCCACATGATGAAATCATAACTCATCATGCCCATGTACAGTACAATAATAAAGAAATCTCTTGATACAGGCCAGGAAGTCAAGACTCAGACCTCTGCTTTTAAGAAAATAAGCTTGCAATCTCCGGTGCAACATAACCAGCTCACACTGTAACTTCTTAAGAGTCAGCTTCACTCCTGTTGATTGGATGGTGGCAAGTCCCTGAATGAACAATGACTCATGTGGGTATAATTGCAGGATTAGCCTCTTAATTTACCTTGTGCTAATACACAAAAGGTGAATAATGTAGAATAGATGTATGTAGATACCTCCCCAAGGAGTGTGTGGTGCAGAGGGTGCCCTCCCAGGCACGGGATAGCCACTCAGGTGCCCAGAGCGGCATGCACGCCCTGCATCCAGGGGCAGAATGAGCTGCTCACAGGGGTGGAGCGAGCTGCCCATGGCGGACATTCGGCACGCCGCCTCCCAAGCCTCCTCCAAGCTGTCAAAACAAGGGGGGAAGGGGGGAATGCCGCTGGCAAATTGGTGCATCTCCCCCCTTACCCTGACAGCTTGGGGTAGGCTTGGGAGTTGTGGGCAGGCAGTGCACTGAATGTCACCCCCCTCAGTGAGGGCACCCGGGGTAGTCCGCCCCCACCCCCTTCCTACGCCGCTGGATACCTCCTCTTTACAGCATTTTCTTTACAAGGGTTCTTCTTCTTCTCATCTCAAGTTTAAGATGATTTAAATCCTGAGCATTAGGAAACCCATTTTTGCCTCACGGAGGTTTATTAATAGAACAAAGGAGAACACTTACCAGTGTATCACATGAATATATCTCATTGTGTTGATCAGTACACTATATAGTCAATATCTCTTCCTTGCGAAGAGAAGGAGGAAGCCACCACCATCAAGCACAGCTCTACTAATCAAAACGTTTTATAATGTGTGATCCTGACAAACCGAGTCAGACCATATGTTTAATGCAATAATATCAGAAGAGCTGAGAGGAGAAATATGCAATTCAAATTCAGATGAGGAAGCCAAAGAAAGCACAATGAGAGCTCTGAGAGCTAATTGTTCCAGACTGACAAAAGAGTATTCGTTCAAACTAATAAGCAAGCTTTCATTCCTGGAGAGGAGGGAAAAACAATAGAAGTCAAAACTGCTAGACAGCAAGAAGTCTGACTTCATTGCAGGGGCATCGCTGAAAGAAGAGAGCTTGCAGAAATAGAATTATGTCTGTTGGCATAGATAGGAACAGAGGAAGCTGCACTGGTTCATCTAACTCAGTATTGTTGACACAGACTAGCAGCAAATCTCCAGGATTTTGGACAAGGGATTTTCCCAGCCCTGCTTGGAGACCCCAGAGATTGCACCTGGGTCTTCTGAATTCAAAGCAGATGCTCTAACCACTGAGCGAAGGCCCAAATGCATACACATTCATCACACGTTGACTATAACCTCAAGTGATGATCTGCATTTGTGAGTAGGCCATCATAGACCTAGCACCAGAGATGCAACTCATAGGATGCAACAAACATATTGATCTGACATATGCTGAGTGACAGGAGAGGTCCATCTAGTTCAGCATTCTGACTAAAAGCAAGTCTCCAAGATCTTGGGCAGAATTATCCCTCACTCTTGCCATTTAAACTAGAGTATGGAATTGCTCTGGTCCTTTCAGTGCTTTGCAGTCAAAGCATGTCACATTTTCAAGCACTGGTTCCAAATAGTTGAATAATCAAGCATACAGAATAAAAACAGAGACAAGAAGGAAGAGAATATTCAATGCAAGGTTGCTGTTTTAGGCAATAAATGTGGATTCATGCATTAGGCTGAGACTCAGACTTGTCCTCTCAACGCAATGCTCTGGTTCTGTGGTTTGAATGCTGCATTGTCTGAGCACTCAAGAGAACAATATAATGAGGATTTCCCCCTGACAGTGTCACCACTGATGTGATCTCCATCTGGAATGCGGCTCCACAACTGTTACTGCCACCTATTGCATATAATGCTTAGATGTAGATATGAGAAACAGGAACACACCTTTCTTCCTCATGTGACCATCCAGTTTTGTGGTATTCTATACAGTTGTTTGACCAAACTGCGGGAGGCAGTGGAAGACAGAAGTGCCTGGCATGCTCTGGTCCATGGGGTCACGAAGAGTCGGACACGACAAAACGACTAAACAACAACATACAGTTGTTTGTTTTAAAATATATATCCTTAGAAGTTCCATGCTTCCCTGCAATGCCATTCAAGTGTAGGCATGTTCATCCTTTTAAAACAATAAATGACTAAAGTAAGGCCCCCAGTGATACAATTCAAGTATAAAAATGCTCAAAAAGTCCCTACCCACTGTAATGTTCTCCCTCAAATATCATAACACAGTTATATTATTTAGTTCTCTGGAGATTGGTGCGCTTAGGCACTGGAGAGAAAAAGTGCACATCTCCCCACCTTCTTAAAGGGATGAATAGGAGAGCAGTTATCCTCTAGCAACAAGGCTACATGTGGAATGAATATCATATTGTAGTTTTTTAATTGTGACCATTTGCCTTGTTGGGCAAACAATATGTGACTGGGCACTCGTTCATTGCCCCGGCACCCTCTTACTCGAGTCACAGAAATTTGCTGTTAAATCCGCAATGTAATAAATTCAACTGTCATATTTTATTATGATCCCAGCCCTCAGGATTCAGTGAAAAGTTTGAAGATAAACATGGAAGCGAGCAATCATGGTGCAGAAAACAGATGATTGGTTTGGGCTGTGTTTCAAACACTTGTCGTTTAAAGCTTTTAATGGCCCAGGACGGCAACACCTCAAGGACCACTTCTCCCCATATGAACCAACCTGGACCCTGTGGTCATCATCTGAGACCTGTCTTTGTCTGCCTCCTCCGCAAGAGGCCCAGAGGGTGGTTACACAAGAACAGGCCCTTTCTGTGGAGGCTTCCCACTTGTGGAATGCTCTCCCTAGGGAGGCTCGCCTGGCACCTGTGTTACATATCTTTATATATCTTTATCTTTATCTCCCTTTGACTTTGGCTAATTAAACAATATATTGCCTTTTGGGTTTTTTTTGTTTTGTATATAATTTTTATTAAATTTTCTGTTTTACAATTTAAAGTACTCATTTTTACATTCTTAAGATATCAATGACTTCCCTTCTTCTCTTTCCATGGTTCATTTTACATATAATAAATCCCTGCATATTTTGCAAAAACTATACCATTCAGTATTCCCTTGTTGCATCCCTCAAAACTTATTTACACTGTTGAATTTATCTTAATGCTGCCAGCATTTTCAGCTGTACACAATTATTTCTCATATATTCAATAAACGCTTTCCAATCTTCTCTAAACGTATTTTATATGTTAAGTCTTCAAGCTGCGAATATTATGTCAACTTAAGTTGCCATTCTTCTTTGGTTGGGACCTCACTCGTTTTCCATTTGGGGGCTAACAAAACACGGGCCGCACTAGTGGCATACATAAATAACCTTTTTTGACACCTGGGAACTTTAGTATGAATTATCCCCAACAGAAAGGACTCTGGGTTTTTTAGGAAAGTGCTGTACTTTAAAACATTTTTTTTTTAATTCATTATGGATCATTTCCCAATACCCTTTTACCCTTTTACAAGTCCACCACATATGAAAGAATGTTCCCTCTATTTCTTTGTACAATCTATGGCCTTTTAAACTGTGTTGGGGGGGGGTCACATTTTATTTCTTTGTTCCTATGTTATGTAGTTTTGCGCTTCATATCGTAAACTGCCTTGTGTTTCTCAGATGGAGGGCGGTATAGAAATTTAATAAATAAAATTGATAAATAAATAAATTTAGGAAGCCCATGAGGCAGTGTGTCTCTTGGAGGCAAATGTGTCAGATAAATCCTGCGCTGATTGGCAATAGATTCTGGACATACAAAAGAAAACACTTCATAAAAGGCATGTGTTAATTTATGGAGTTAAGTGCCAATTTGAAAGAGGATTAGCCAAAGACAATTGTTAAGCGGGGCATCCTTGATCAGAGGCAGTAAACACCAGTTGCTGAGGGGTAAAACAAGGGAGTGCCAATGCCTTCATTATTTGCTTGTGAGAGTTTCAGATGCATCTGCCTGGCCACTGGTGGAAACAGGATGTGGGACTCGATGGGCTTTTCCTCTGATCCAACGTGGATTTTCTTAATATGTGCACTGGCTGTAACTCTGGCACTGTTCCCACGGTCCCTGACATGCCTGACATTTGAAGCCATCAAATCCCTGCAAACAACATTTAGAGCCACATGTGGGAACCAGCTGGAGGCAGCTGGCTCCCACTTTACCGCAGTGCTTTTCATGCCTCATTAAGTGCCCATCAGCATATAAACATTTATTCCCCACATAAACCTCCATCTTCAGAGGTTTATTATACAATCAAAAGGATGCGCTTTAGGCAACATCCTGATATTTCAGGGTTCAAACCCAAGTCCACATTCTTTGTTATATGGCTCAGAAGGGAGAATCCATGGGTCTCCTTTCTCTCCATGGGCTTTAAGGGAGAGAAAAAAAGGTTCTCAATATTTGGTTTGCCTTTCTTTCATCAGAAAGCCACTTTTATGCTGAAAATGAAATTTCCCAAGCAATTCATTCATAATATGGGCCATTTGCTTTGGATGTTTCATTATTAAATATCATTATGCAGCCAAAGATATCACAACTTAATATCCAGTTTCTACACATGTGCAGTAAATAATATTGGCACAGTTGCTAGAAGAATTTTGCTAGCAAGTCTGTCACACTTTTCTTGCATGCATAATTGCATAATAAATCAGAACCATCTCCAGTCTAATGTTTAAATAACACACACATACACAGAGAGATGGGAAGGGGGGGGAGAGAGAGATTTAAGCAACAAACTGGAAAAATTCCAAGTTTATTCAGTCTGCCTGATGATGTATACATATTTTTAAACCAGTACTTTCCAGAGAGACCATAAATTGAGAAGCTACTGACATAAGCATGATATCTAGATTCTTGTCCTGCTGAATGTTTTTTCTTCAGAATCAGATATTTGGAAGGTCACCAATGAATAATCTAAACCAGCTCCCTGTTTAACTCCATTTCTCCTGTGAAAGCATAGGAGATCTTCTGGATCAGACCAAAGTCCCACCAGATTTAGCATTCTGCTACCAACCCAGCCAAATTCTTTGGAGGACCTTACATGAAGTGCATGAAGAGAAAAGTCTCTGCTGTTGTTCGTCCAAAGCACCTGGAATTTACAAATACATTACCTCTGAACACAGAAGCTTCATTGAAGTATCCTGGCTTGCAGAAAAATTCCATAAGCTTATCAGGGAATAAACCCCATTTAATTCAAGAGGATTTACTTCTGAGTGGGTGTGTGGCAAATTAGCTTTCTTTTATCAGTTGTGAACCTACTTCAAGCCAACTTCCCTGACTAATTCCATATTCTCAAATTCTACAAGAGCAAGAACATTTATCAAGGACAGGGATAAATTTTCTCATTCTTGTAAGATACTCGCAAATTATGTCCCCTTCTTGTCTCTCCTTTCCCCTTAGAAGTCCCCAGTGCTTCAGGGACAGATTGATCAATCTACTTCTGCATACATTGTTGTATGTGTTCATTCATTGGTTCATTCCATCCCATTTCCACATTAAAATTTGATTTTTAAAAAATCAACGCCAAAAGCCGTATTTAAATATTTTATGTCAATGTATGTCCATTTCTACTTTATCATGAAATATGCATTTTGGTACATTTGTTGAGCTGAGAAAAATGTATCCAAATGTGGAAAATGAGAAATCCCAAAAAACAATCCATATGAGTTCGCTTCAAAATGCTGACCAAATGAAATTCCTCTCCATCCCAAGTTCCAGGAAAGGAAAGTGCTCCAACTCCTTGATACTTCTGTTTGGCATTGTCTGTACTGCACACGGTATTCATTACAAAGCATATTTCCTCTACCTGAAGTTTTTCCAGTATTTGTTTCTCCAGTGAGAGAGAATCCAAATTTCCCAGGCAGCTTCTGCTGAACAGGATCTATAAGATTCACAACTCTTCTTATCACAATTACTATCACCACTGGTCCTGTCCTTGGTAGACTGCAAATAGTCCACCTCTTCATTCTAAAACCATTGAAGCAATTTCCTTCCCTTGCAAAAAGCAAAAAAGCAGAAGGAAAGAACTAACGAGTCTCCAAATGAGCTATCCAAATGGTGGGAATGTGCATGAAAACCATGGCCATTAAACTGGCCTGGAAATATGGGGAGTGTTGAAGGATAGCAGTCCCAAGCTACATTCATCTCCATTTTTTCTCCCTGCTTTGCCTCTGCTTCCTCTCCATCCTTCCACTGGGACCTTCATTTCTTTTCCTGTGCAGTCATTCATAATGCACTTCTTACATATCTACTCAGAAGTAAG